CAGTATCTAATATTTACCTTGTTTGGGTTTTTTACATTAAACCTAATTTCATTTCTCTTAAATCATTAGCTGATTCTGATTAAAAGGCTGCTTTTTTGTAGGACAAATGATAATATAGAGCTGGCTGGATTGTCATTCAGAATATCAGTGCTCAGCCCCTCCTGCTGTCTTTGGGAGATAGAAACATTCACCTAAAACAGAATTTCACTGTTAAAAAATCAGGATACCTCAGCATTGTCTTGTTTTCTACTGAAGGCAGAGAAGTAGAAGGCACCAAAGTGTTCCTGTTCTTATGGCAGGGATAAGTCTTTGTTTGCATAACACAGTTGACATGATTCTAGAAAACACATTTAAGTACATTATTTTTTTATGGGTTTGTACTAAGCACTATTATTTTGGAAAGAGCACTGACCTCCAAACAGCAGAGAGATCACTAGTGATTATAATCTGTGACTAAAGACTCTCAATTAAGAAACTGCTTTCCTAATTTCTTCTCTACTGCTCTCCAATGTTTTTAGCAAGTCCCTACATTACAGTTTGCAGTTTCTAAAAGAAAAGCAACCTCATTTTATAGAAATTTTGGCATAGGCTTCATAATCATTACTGATCTAGAAATTTATAGATATAGATTCCAGAGGAATACAAATACTGATAATTTACTATTTACATCTAAAGTGTAATTAATGATGGGAAACTGCTTCATCCTCAATGATGTGGTAAAATAAGAGATTGAGTCTTTCTCAAGTAACAGAACCAGTCAGCATCAGAATCAAGATCAGAAGCTTTGAAAATCTCTCTTCTGCAAGCAAAGGTGTAACTATGGCATTGTCAGAACTCAAGAACTAGCTTTAAAAATAAGCAAACCACAGCAGCATTGACTACAATAGGATTATCTGTGAGAAGCTACAGAGACACTTTGGGAAGACTGGACAATATAAGCTAAAATCTTAGCTCTTCATCTTTCATTTAGGACTAAATTTTTCTTTGGTACCTGAAGAAGCTGGTGTACAGCCTGCTCAGGTTCTTTTACCTGTGTTTTGGTGGTACCTATTAACCTCAGCATCAGCATATCATTTGACCCTTCATTCCCTATTCCTTATTTTTGGCATGAGGCTGCCTCATTTCAGAGAATTACATAATGTCTTAAAAAAGGACATAAATCAATAAATATAAAAGACAAATATTACCATGCTGCTTCAGTTCTATTTCTGGCACTGCAGCACCAGAGAACATGGCTTTGAAGCTTCAATCTCTGAAGTGCTAGAATAATGTAGATAATGTGTTAGATGTACTAGATTTAGTTCTGGGCCACCAGTCTGGTCTATTCTCATGTGGAATGAGCTTTTATGAAAGGTGCATAGAAAAAAAAAGCAAAGTAGCAGTAGCTACTTTAGAGGCAGTAGCTGTCTATTATAGACAGATATTCTATGAGGTCCTTAGCATTTGGCTTCAGCCAGGGCAGGGGAGAAAGGGCATATAAACTTACCAAGAATGAACACAGCAAAACTTTCTTTTGATTGCAGTTATCCAGTGCTATGGTTTTAGGCACTTCTATTGAAAGAATATCTAGGTGCAAACTGACTGCAGTCAGTGCAATATTTTCCTCTGAAATTCACTGGTAGGCTCCTTTTGAAGTAGAGAGGAAATAGGAATTTGACCCTGTGCGTCTGATTTTGTAGGATGCTGAATTTTTCTAAATTTTCTTTTGGTATCAGTAACATTTTATGTCTTCAAGGAGCAATGTCCATAGGTCCTGTAATAAAGTCAAACTTTTAGCACCCTTACCACCCAGCTCATGAAATTCCCTACAGAGAGACACATAACTACACTGTTCAGGAACTAGATTTCAACTCTCTCCCTCGAAGATTAGGCTGTTTAGAGACTGGCCCACCTCATATGAAGTTTATTATTTCCTAGAAAAGAAATTCATCTCTTCACTGTAGCAGTGAAATTTTTATCCCCTTTCAGTGCTGAATAAATTGCAACAGTCTGGTTAATTCTCCTATTGATTTAAGTACATGTTTCTAGAAAGGAAATAAAATAATTTACAATAGAGAGTGAAAAAATACCATATCATGAAGGCTGTTTCACTTCAGCTATAATTTCTGGGAAACAATCTTTCTAAGGTAAGGTCATGGTTTAGCAACAAGGCAACTCCCTCATTGACTTGTCATTGTTTGCAGATTTGGCTCTGCCTGTACTTTACTTGAACAGAAGTTTTTAACAGCATTTTAAGTGTTTATTCCTATTATAAACCCACACATTTCCAGCCCATATTTCAGAGAGTTACATTTCATAGTTAATGAGATTCATCTCTCTGGTATGAGGAATATTGTGCATTCTCTCCAAAATTGTAACAACAAGTTTACAGTGAGTCAGAGTATAAAATTTGTATATGGAATATATGTGAATAAATGAGGTTATGATGTAAATTAATTTTAAGCTATAATTTTCAAAAAATGTGCTCTTTTCAGTTTTTTCAAACTTCATATAGGTAAATTTTTTTGTCATTTGATGGCAGGTTGTACTTAAGTAATGGAATTAGAAAATATTCAGCTTTTCTATCCATTTATATATTTTACTATGCTTATGTATCAAGATAAAGACCATAATATCATGAATGATAGCATGTATCCAGAACCCTTTAAATATACAAAAGGGTTACTGGATTTGGCCCAACATGTATTATATAAGAGTTAGTATAGAAGAGTCTAATGTTGACATTTAAGAAAGTCTAAAGTACACAAGGCAGGCATCTTCTGTCCCCAGAATCTTTCGCTTTTTGTTTCTCTAAAATTTGCATACATTTATGATTGGGATACTTAAGATACTACATTTATTTTCAATACAGTTTTTCTGTATTTCCCCATAGATTATTAGTAAGAATTTGGTGATAGCAACAACCAATTGAAATACCTTAATTCCATTTGAACTGTAATAATAAAATAGATTTAAATAGATTTTAAGAATTTACTTGGGTTTTCAATTTTACATGTTCCAGATGAATATTGCCTGTAAAGCAAATATATTTAGTTGTCATTTCTTAGTAAATTATTTCTATACTATATTTTTATAACTTTGATTTTTCTTATGGAAGAATACTGTTCTTCAAGAACAGAATACAAAGTATTCTGAAGTAGTAAATCAGAACAATCAATCAACATAATAGATGTAATCAGACCCTATTCAAAGCTCATGGTTACAGGCTGAGGTGATCTTGTTTCCTCTTGCATGTTATAGTTTTGTGGGTTGTTATGAAGATTTAGAGCTGTCACTTATAGTCTGGTCACAGCTTTCATTGATTCTTCAGGATCTTCCAACCACCTAGTCCTAAATATTTTGGAGACCAACATCTCTCAGACTCTCAATGCAGTATTTGAATATACAGGATTTGGGTTGTGGTTTTTTTTAGTGTTTGGGTTTTTTTTTAAGAAGCTTTATGAAGCCTTGAGCAACAAAGAATTGTGATCCTCATGTGAAAACTGTTCATTTAAGAATATTTCAGTGTAGACAACTGGAGTGTAGCAAAATTATTTCACTGATCCCAAACTGTCTGTGGAGACCCAGAATTAGATTAATACATATGTACCATGGAATAATCTTGTGCCTTTATAAAAAGCAAGTCATATCTTTCCATTTTAATTCAGAAATTATTATCTATATCAAACATTTAATCTGCATGCACGCTAGGATAATTTTAAATTTCAAAACTGTCTCTACATTAATTTTTATAACTATATGATTTTTAAGGGCACAAAGAAAATCTGTTAAGTATTTTCCTGGAGACACCTCCTACTGAATTCAGGTTCATGCCAAATGCTGCTCTTGCCACCATCACTCAGAGAAGTCAGAGGCAGTGAGATTGATGTATCATTCCTTCTCTATTGGTGACTACAGAAGACTCAGGACAGGTTGTTATAAATAAATTCTGTAAATTTACTTTGAAATAAACACAGATTATTTCAAAACTATAGCTCAATCCCATTTTTATCCTATTTTTAATTCCCCTAATTTTGTATTACAAATTTGATTTATTATGCAGCCAGACTTGAGAAAGGCTGCAAAAACTTTTTCTTATCTATTTTGGACACTTGATATTAAACAATTATTTTTCTTCCCTTATTGAGATATTATTTGTGTTTTAATTTACATATATTCCTCCATGAATTTTCAGCCCCTTTTGATGAATTTTCTGAACTTTTGTGTCATAAAGATATAAAGATATAAATTTAGCCCTGCTCTTAAATATAAGGCACTTCAAAACAATGTGTTACTGTCAGTTATTAATCTTTGATGGGGAGATTCACAGAGAAAAAACAAGAGATAGGATAGCCAGAGTGATTTTATCTTGGTCAAGGTCCTCACCTAGGTATGGTCAGAAATTACATTACATATGTAATTAACCCACTGTCCAGCACTCAGGTCACATAAAAGGATGCTGACTAAAAACACATTTTCCTTGTAACTTTTATTTTAAAAGATCTTTCAGAATTAGCAAGTCTGTCTTGTTAATCTGTCTCTATAGACCCCTTTTCAGTACTTACCATCCTCCAACATCCTAGAAAAGTGACACTTCAAGTTCCCATATTTCCTGGTCTTGAAAGCAGATTGCTTGAAGTGTTGTCAACCAGCACCTGAGGTCCTGTGGCTAATTCCCTTTTTCCAGAAAGTTTTCTTTTCTCTCACTGCATCTTGCTGCCACTAATACAAGTTCTGCCTTTGGCTAGTCTGAGGATTGAGCTCCCTTGGGTTTGGTCATTTGTTTACAGAAGGTGCTTTTAGACTATCAGGTAGCACCTGAGTCCTAAAAGGGACTGCTAACATAGCTGAGAAATTTGAGTACAACAAATGAAAGGGATAGAAGGTTGTGGAGGAAAATACTGTCTAGACAAAGATGCCTAAAGACCATCTCTTTATAGACTTGTGTGTAGTTTTATCAGTGTGTCCTTCAATGCCACACTACAAGAAGCAATTCCATATCTCTAAAGTTGCCCTTAAAAATGGCTGATGGTTATTCAGGCATTGCAGGTAAATTAAGCAAAATCAGTATTAGCTAGCTCCATACATCTTCAAGTGTAGTGGGTTTACCCCAGCTTCCATGGATTGTTATGAGCTGAGAACTTTTCCTGTATATAGGGGTGCAAATGGAAGAAGTTACACTTCAAGTCCCTTTCACTTTTCTGTCAGTACACACCTACACCCTTCTAGTGAAGTTAGTGGCCAATATTAGCAACCTCTCAGGTCTTTCAGAGCACCTGCTTAAGTGGTCCCTCTCTGGCTCACTCTTGTCAAAAATCAGTCACCTCTAATAGAAGGGCTGTAATGGGCATATATGTCCAAACCATAAATAGGCCTTCCCAGACAGATTTGTTTACAAAATTTACATTTGTTTGCACCTTCCAGCAAATTAAGAGTTGGTTAAGTTTACAGATAGGTATTTTGCAATATGTACACACAGAGCAATGAAGCAGAACTGGAAGTTCAGTCACACGAAAGATAAGACCCCTCTGCATAAACAGCTTCCAGGCAGTATAAATTGAAAGGACTTTCTGATTTGACAGAGGCCTTTCCAGTTCACAGAATACTTTATTCTTACCAAGGTTAATCCTTTGTTGTTGTTGTAATTGCTGTTGTTGTGTTTACACACAAACTATTTTGCCAAAGTTCTCACTTCCAGTTGTTCTTCAGGATGTCCAGATGGGACAAATCTGTTCTTGCATCATGCCTTTAAAAGTAGACCAGAAACAAACTTGACTCCCTATTTTCGAAAACTAAATGTGATTTCTCCTTCCTCATCATCTTCTTCACTGGTGTGTCCTATGATTTCCTTTCATCTTTTTCATCATTATCTAGATAATGGATTGACTTTCATGCCATAAAACTTTATTGTACAGCTAAACCTACTCCCCAGTACGTGATAAGTGGGAATGAAAAGGGCTTTCAGGTAGTTAGAAATCTAGCTGATCCATTCCTCTTGAGGATATTTAACACATTTGACTGTATTTGAAAAGGGAAGGTTGGTTTTCCTATAAAAGTAATAGTTTTTACCTCTTGCTTTCTTTACACAGTAAACCAAACAGCAAAAGTAAAGATGAAGATTGACCAAAGCCAAGTTTCTCCTTTACATTTTACTAAATAAGACTGCCAAATCAAATAAAGTGACCTTGGCATATGAAATTACTAAAGCACAAGTATTGCTAAGTGTCAAATTCAGATGTAAAGCTGTAATTCATTTACTTTCATGATAAATTCAATTTCTTTCATTGATTCCAGCTTTCAATGGATGAAAGCTTGCACACATGATAAACCAAAATATACCAAAATTGAATTATTTAGAAAAAAATGTGATAAATAGCTGGATGTTGCTGGCAAAATAAGGGTTTAGCCTCACTCCAATGCAAGCTTTAATATCTATGCAAGAAGAGCAGGGAAAAAACTGTTGACTTTAGAGAGTCCATGTAAAGAATAAATGTGTTGCACAGATTAGAACAGGGAGGATATTTTAGGCTAATTTGAATGGTACTATCTTCTTCCATAGACATCAGCAAAATCAGCCTTTGACCTCAAAACACAAATTGGCACTGGAAGCTCTTTACTGCGTTTTCCAGTCACAAAAATATTAACCTCTATAACCTGGCCAAACTCCAAAGTGGGTGATTACATTCTGCTGCTCTAATTTTCCCCTGCAGGCTCAACTAGATCCAGCATAATTTCCTGATATGTAGTGCTACTGAAAAAAAAGTCCCTTTTTTTGCAAAGTTGCTGTCAATTTTTCCTTCTTGCCTCCTCATTTGTTTGCCCTATGAGCTGTAGGTTGTTTGAAGGTCAGATTTGTTTGGTTCTGGATCACAGGTTTTACTAAACTGAGAGACCATGAACATGGCCAGTGCTACAACGATAACAATATCTTTCCATCACTTTTACTTTCTTACAATACACATAGTATATTTTTTATATATACACACACACTAAATGTACTATATATAGTATAGCCTAGCTATAGTTTTTTCCCCAAGCATTCATGCAGTTAGATTGGAAAATCAGATTCTGGAAAATCAGAAGTCAAAAATACAGCCTAAAAATACAGGCATTCTGAGTATGTTTAAAAAACAGTTGCCAGTTTGCTTGTAAAATAGCGCATTGCTTAACTCCACATTGCTTTAAAGCAATAATTTGTTAAAGAGATTATGATTTCCATGGCCATACAATCTAATATTTTTCCAAGAAGTTTGCACATAATTGATAGCAGAATTCATTTAATTTATACTTAGTATTGGTCTGAGACATTACTTTTACTCTTAGAAAAAAACATTCACTACGAAAGTTAAGCATCTCTGGTGTAACTGTTGATTTCACTTTGGTTCTATAAAGCTGTAACACCTGCACTTTGGATAGTTGCTTATTGAGTTACTTAAGATAGTTAGAAATATCAGCACTGTGATCACTTGGTATAAGCATTTCTATCTAAAAGAGGTGATGCAGTGCTCCTTCCCCCAGCACGGTCTCAAATAAAACAGCACTAAGTACAATCTGATGGATTACCTGTATGGAGAAGCCACACAGATTCTGGCTCTGGGGACCTGAACTGATTGCTTAGTCCCAGTACCACAGGGTTAAGTGAAATGCTATCACAGTAATTTATTATTAAGAGAAACAGTGATGGCTTAGATTAAGAAGATTTGTCTGTCTCTTCTAATTAAGGTTAGATTTGTAAGAAGCTTTACTGCCCTTTGAAGCTACACAGACTAAAATTAGGACTCTGGTTCCATTTAAAATGTCACTAGGTTGGTCTATAATCCTGTAGTGATTGCAACAAGGGATCATTCTTCCTATGTTGTGATTCCTTGTTTGCAAGCTAGTGAGCCAGGACAAGACCCCATGAAGCAAAGTCTGAGCAATCTATTAATCAGCAACAAGTTGGTCCTACAGGGCACTGTAATGCTCTTGCAGTGACCCTTGAAGACTCCGTAATGAACAGGAAGCTGGCAAAGCAATCAGCTGTAAGACACAAAGAGTTCTACTGCAGGCAGAGAGCAAATGGTGGCATTAAGTGGGCTGTGTACAGAGAGTGAAGAAGTTTGTGGGGGGACAAGATCTATCCTCAGGCTGTGAGTGAGCTCATTTTACAGTGGCATTAACAATCCTACACGAGACAACAGCAACCCAGACTATAGTTTCCTCACTTGCTGGTCTACAGACAACGTTAAAACCTCAAATCAGTAAATTGATCACTTCTAACTTTTCTCATTATTCACCTATTTACACAGCATCAAATGAACCTGTGAGCCTGTTACAGGAGAGTAATAGCAAAAGCTGTTCAAAAATTTTTAGTAAATTTGAAGCTTGGATTCAGTTTTCCTTACCGATGTGTAGACCTAGAGCAGCTCTGACTAGATTAGTAAATTACAGAAACATGAAACTCATTAGATGGAAAGCTCAGATGCATTTATGAAGAGCAAAACCTTCTTTGAGAATATTGAGCATGACAAAACACTTGAAGGAAAAGCAGCTGTGATGCTTCAAGTCACAAGTCAGTTTCTGGTTCGCTAGGATTATTAAAATACTTTTCCAGTAGGTAGGACATGAAATTATGATTCAATGTAGAGTGCCTTTTTCTAAACAATCTGATGCTGTGCTGTGACTGAGACAAAACAGGGTGAGTGTGTGGACCCACATTCTTCTGCAGTGGGCCAGGTCTTACATACCTGTCAGATTATGACAGTGTGCTAGGAGCCACTAAATTGCTATTCAGCAGTTCAAGAGTCATCTTTTAATTTTTTTAGAGAAACAAAGCAAGTTTACATGTATATTGGCAGGGATAAACTGCAAGCACTGAGTCTCAGATATGTGAGCAAGAAAATCTCTCATCAATGAATTCAGTAAGAATCTACCAGCTTTTACTGATCAATCTGCTGAACAATGAATGAAATTTAATTGCTCCGTTGCACTGTTTGCGACATCTTTTGCATTGTCTTCTTTTTTCTTAGATAAACCCTGTCATGTTTTTATAGACAGGAACATCCAATTAAGCACAAAAATTCAATCACCTATCATTCAAATAACCACTCACAAAATCTGAACAGCACATATTCATGAAGGACCTCCTGAAAAAAACTATTTGCTCCACAGAATCTTATGACTGGTTTCAAATGATGAGTAAAAGAGCTCAAAAAAAAATACAGGAAGTCACTTAATTCAGTCCCCTTTATTTACTCAGACTAACACAGGGATAAGCAATACCTACCTATTCTGAACAAAAAAAGCAGGGTGGTTCACAAAGTATTTCTTACTGTGAGAGAAGGGTACAGCTATAATCAGTAGGGCTTGTCTTGAGCAATTCAGTCTACTTTAGTGTGTCCAAAACCCAGTATCTACTGCAGCAGGCATGAGCAGTTCCTGTGTGACATTGGCCGAGGTCCTGTGGGCAAGAGGAAGCCCTCTGGAGGAAGAAGAAATATGGGCACTCCTGTACCTGTCCACAATGCAGCTTCTGGAGGATCTTCACAAAGGTGAGGTAGAAAGTATCTCTTTCAGAGTTCTTACTGTGGCAATTAATTCTTGAGTTATTTTAATTCATTTGAATTTGTTTACTTGTTTGTTTGTGGGGGTGGGGTGGAGACAAAAAAATACTAATGGCACTAACAGCCTATAGTAAAAGTGAGAAATCTTTCAGTGCTGCTGGGATTATGTGCAGATTGCTCTAGCTTCATAGAAGGTCTTCACACCATTTTGTTTGTTTATTTGTTATTTGTTTGTTTGTTTGTTTGTTTGAATTAAACATCAGGTAGTGATTAATCTAAGTACAACTATATGCAGACATAAGAGTTCTTCCTAAAGTCTGAGTAACATGCACCCAGAGAAAGTGCAGTGCCAGCTAGGCTCATGTCCTTCATGGACTGATAGAGAAGGAAAGGCAAATCCACATGGCTCTCCATTCAGCTAGTAAGAGACTTTTATTCTTCATGATAATAATGTGATCATTGTGATGATTGCTTGCCAAGCAGGCCAGCTTGACAGAGCACAAAGCACAACTGAGCAACAACATGAGAGCACAGTGAGCAACCTGTCACATTTTGAGAACTGTTTATGTGAATGGGTATTCCTTTTGAGGGGAGAAGGGATGAGACGTGTTCTTACCTCATAAGCATGTAGAATCAAAACACAAAATACAGAAAACAAGTGATGTGTTACTTCTACTGTAGCTGGAGGAGCAAAATTCATTACCAACTAGTTTTTAATGGGCTGGAACACTATAGCAGGCTGACTATATCATCAGTCCTCTATTAACTGGTGTAACAAGGGGATAGAATAGCCCAGGAAATACAAGCACCAGAAATGTGCAAAGGAGTGAAGCACAGAGATACCCACCTGGATAGGTTCAGCACAGGTCCAACTATTGACTGTGTGCCAGACACTAAGCTGACATTATGCTCTTCTGATTGCTGACCTAACAAAATGAAATTAAAAAATAATAAAAAATAATCAGCCTACATTTCCTATGCTGTGCCAGATAAATTTAGGTTATCAGAATGTGAAAACTAAACCAAGACGAAGTAGGGATGTACAATCAAGTTGGACTATAGGCTAAGTGTAAGGCTGCTAAAGCTTGTCTTTACAGAGTTCAGGTGCAGAAGTGATGCCAAGCCGGAGTAATTCTGAAGCTGAATCCACAGTGCTCCAGTTTCTTAGAGCGCAGGGAAGGCTATTTTCAAGACTAATACTGCCACATTTGCTGTGCTGTGCATGATCATGGCAATAAATCATGCCTGATCTCATGATGGTCAGCATCACTTGCTATAGAATATTCCCAGTGTGCTGGGGCACTGCCAGGTTAGGCAGGAATGCCACTTGTGGCAGGCAGGCAGACATGGCAGGCTGGCCAGCACTACAGAAGGCCAGGTATTCTCCACAAGGCTGAAGTACAAGCTGGCTGGCTGTTCCTAAAACAGACAATCTTCCTGGCATTTGTGACTTGTATTTGCATACAACACTACAAAAAAGTAGAAAACATGGAAGGAGCAAAAGAGAACACTAACTGAAGGTAACCATGGTCACAGAGCCCAGCGACCACCAGACAAGGCCACAGTGCCAAGGCAAGTCTGAGGTCAGGCTGGGAAGTCAGTCTGTGGGTCAGGACCAATAAGGTCCCCAAGAAGGCAAGTCATTCTGGGTACATCTCCACTGATGAGTTTGGTTATACAGGTGAGATGCCAGAAATATGATTTTCTGAGTGCAGTGAGTTCAACATTATCTACTTAACATTTTTCAGACCCTGCCATCTATGTGATTTGCCCATGGTCAGTACTACTGTCTGGTGAAGGAAAGTTGTTCTTCCAAAACAATGCATCTCAGACAGAAGCTGCCCCTTTCAGTGCACCAGAATTGCTCCACAGCCCAAGTAAAAAACAGCACTTTGGACTAACAAAGGTGAGGTATATTGCAGAGTACATCTTGACGACACCTCATGAAGACAAGCTTGTGGGTTTTAATGCAACATACTAGGCACCTACTGTCACATCCCATTTCTAATAAAACTAATCAAATTAGGCTATAGTTACAAAGATTTACATATATCTTGCAGTTTGCCATTGGATTAGCGTGCATGTCAATATCAAAATTGATTTTGAACATCATTCCCACAGGTCTGTATTATTTGTAAAGGCCCACAGAAATGAAGAACATTTCTATGAAATGGTGTTCAAGTAGATGTGGTAATTGTAATCTCAGAAGCAGCAGGACTGCAGTATCTGTGCAATCAGAGGGTGGAAACAGTCCCAGCAAGTCAGAAATACGTTCAGCTTTGTTAACAATTTATTTTTCTTCTCTCTGACAAATGAGTTTCTGGAAAGACAGTAAGATACAACATTCAGGCACCTGAAAGTTTTAAATGCCACTCAGACCACATACTCCCCTCAGGCAGAACACAGTATTTTCAGATTCATACATAACTGACCATTTAGACACCAGGCAGAAAAATTAAGCTGTGGAATAGGCAGCCTTATTCCAGTAATTATTTTCCTGCATACAACACCTAGTCAGTCCCACAGGTAGGACAGAATTTTAATCAGCAAAGGGAGAGCTTAAAAATTAAGGAAGGAGTTCAAATTTTTTTCCCTACTCCTGGCATCACTGAACAAAGTGATGGGCAACAAAAGGGCAGCCTGGCTCAGCCCAACAAGCTGAACAGTACTAATGATGCCAAGATGATTCTTTACCTTTTCTTTTATATATCTTTCATATAACTTTTATGTAGCCTCAGTATTCTTAGCATGCATACTTGTAATTCCTAAAGTCTGATAACTTAGCATAGCCCTAGTATTTTTTAAGCCAGGAGACCAAACATCCTAAAAGCCTCATAGTAGGAGGCCAGAAAATGCTGTGCTATCTTGGGAAACCAAGGTCTTCTCCAGAACATATCCTGTAAACTACAGATCTGGCCCATCCAGGGGGGAATTCTTTGGATGGGGAAATATCACACCATTCATCCAGGCCTCCCATTGGGACATCCTTGTTAGATATGCTAACTTGTAAGCATATAGGTGATCTATCATACGTGTGCATTGTGGCATATTCCACCTGGGTGAAATGGTGCACCATAAGGATCCTTATTAAAATACTGATAAAAAACCCTTATCCCTTAGCCATGTCTGGCTCTCAAATTTTTAAGACCAGGAAAAGGCATCTGTAATTGCATGCAACCTAGTCCATAAGCTACGAGTCACTATTTTACTTTTAGATATATTTAGTCTATTTAAAAAAAAAAAATCATCTGTGTGACTTCTTCCATTTTGTGACCAAAGACAGAAAAAGATGGTGTGTCTTGTATGACACAAAAAATATGTGGCTTTTCTGTACTAACTATTGATTTCATACAGGGTTTCCTTTTCTGTTTTGACAGATGCTGGTATATTCCTTAGGAATGACCCTCTATTGGTCAGCAGATTACCAGGTTCCTCCAAACCAGGCCAGTAACACAAACGTTTTTGTTTTATTTTATTCTGGTAGGTTCAAAGAATGAGAGGCACAGTTTGAAGTATCACTAAGAGGGGCTTTGTGTTTTGGACCACTAGAAAATAATGGAAGAGTTTGTGTCAAGGTCTAAGCTTCACCAAAAATATCAGTTCATACAATCAGGGAATTTAGCTGGAGCTCATCTTGCCTTGCCTTGCCTTGCCTTCTGTTTCTTCAAAAACCAGAATTGTTCTTATTAAGATGAATTGTAGTTTGATTTTAAGGATGATTATTTATTCCAAGACAATTAGGAACAAGCTACCCAAGGAAGTGGTAGAATCTCATGCCTGGAGGTATTTAAAAGATGTATAGCTGTGGCACTTAGGGACATGATTTAGTGATAGACTTGCCAGTGTTAGGTTTATGGTTGCACTAAATAATATTAAAGGTCTTTCAACCTAAATTATTCTATGATTCTCTTATTCTAAGATAGACAGGACTAAAACAAAAACATCATGTTGGCATGATTGTGGTGCTGTGCACATTTATGTGCTTTTTCAAAAATGGGATGGAAGAATAAAATTAACTCCCCTTATTTCTGAACAAATTCTATCAGTATCTCTGCTAGATGAAATTATTAATTTCTTGATTACCCAGAATCCTTTCAAAGACTTGTAACATGCATTTTTCTTCTTTTCTATATTGATGCTTTTGGTTGTTTGTTCTCAGTTTGGTGAGTACAGGCTTCCAGTAGATTTAACCTCCCTTTCACATTCACAGAGAAAAAGCTTTATAAGCTAAATGGCCTTAAAATATAAGTATCTGGTCTCTATGACAACAGTTTTGGCTGGTATAACTCCTTACCTTTTTGAAGTTAATGCTACCACACATCTTACTTCCATGAATATTTGAATCACAGTCTAATTAACAAAGCTCTGGAGCAAACTGAACTGTCTGTCACCAAGAAGCCCCTAATTGGGGCAATGATCTTTCTTGGGAGATGTCAATGCCTTCCAAGGCTATCCTGGATCCCACTAGAGGTTCATTCATTGCTGTTATGCTGCTTGTCTGGAATTTTCCCAAAGTCTAAAGGAATTCAATGCATGTTTCTCACCCAGAGTAAAAGGCTTACAGAAATTCCTGGTCCCAGTTTACACAGGATTTCAGTCTCCTGGGAGATGCCATTTAACAGTACCTCTATTTTGATGCAGTCCCTCCAGCTGAGTGACCAACTACATACACTCTTGCTGACACTCTGTGAAGATCTGCCACATAGAAGACTTTCTCCTGAATCCATTCTGGAAGCATGTGAAGCACATCAGAAGGAATCTGCTTCCTTACCACCAAAATTCTGCATAAAGAAAATGGTTCAGTTTGCAGTGGTAAGTGTCAGCGAGGTAGGTACTACTCTCATACTCCATCTCCTTTTCTGTGGTGAGAGAGGTGCACAGCAACACGGGACATCAGTGAGTGATTGCTGAAATTAATGTCTGTATGCATTAAGGAAGTGAGATCTGGTTCTAAACTTCTAGGCAGAAAGTTGTGTGGGCAAGTGTACAAGCAGATAAACAACGAAGCCATCTCACACACCACTTCTATGATGCCTTGAGAAGGCTGACCTAGAACAGAGGCTAGACAGTTAAAAAGGTAGGTATTTATTGAAAGGCCTTAAAGGATACACCTGGCCAGGGCTAAACCCAAGACAGACCTAAAAATGGTCACAAAGTGCAGGATTGGTCACAAGGTCTCACATGTTTATAAATTTTGGTCCATTTTTATATTTGGGTTAATTGTCCAATTACAGTTTCATGTTATGAAGTCTCATCCTTCTTGTTTTCTCTCCTCAATCCACTGTTGTTTATGCTTTTGGGCCTGAAACTTGTAACGATTGTCCTTGGTATCAAGCTAGAAAAGGAATTGTTTTGTCTACCTGATCTGTGAAGGGAGCTCACTAACACTAAATATGAAGCTCAAAACTATACACCTAGGCAGCACAGAATCTGAAAAATATGAAAACTAAAACTTAAGGTATTATCTACACTCCTAGGAAGTGACTGAGCTTTTGTACTTAGAGTATCTTTGGTTAATACTGAAACAATCATAACTTTTACGGAGACCTCATATTGGCCAAAGTCAAGGACTTTATACAACAGTAAGGATTTCTCCATTGCCAATCTGGTTTCAGACCTTCTTCACAAAATTTAAAAAAATCTCATTTACATCATGTTAGGAAATTAATTCATTGTCCTTGAGTGGAACTGAATATTTGCTGTGAAATCAAGCCTGACCATATGAGATCTTTAATAAATGATCACATCAGGTTTTTCAAAATTTGGAGTATCAAAAACCATTTTTGTTTATAAGCTGAATGACAGTGGAAGAAAACACACCAGAATTCTCTTGTTTTCAACCAGTGTTCATTAAAACTTTGAGAATATTCTTTCCCTTGCACTCTTTCTTACTCTCTTTGCTACTGTAACAGAGGGTGACCCCTCTTAAACTTAGCTAACATGAGAGCATGGAGCAAACATACTCAGTCCTGCTTTGTGTTAATCTGAGAAAATAAAGTTGCCTATACAAAGCAAATCAGCAGCCTCTGACAGCCAGAGGACAAGGATTACTTCACTATGAGAGTCTGAAGTTCACATATCATATGACATTCACTTTCAATATTACTGCCTTCTAGACAGAGCAGGTGGTCACTGAAGACAGCACAGCCTCTCAGCTGAACAGAAGTCATGTGATAAGGAAAAGACTGCATGAAAAAATATCGGACACCTCAGCGCTGTCATCCCAGATGAATTTTCACCAAGGTAAAGAAAGATTAATAATCTGAACTCTCTAATAAGGATACAGACAGCCTTTTCTGTGTCTTTCCCAAGGTAGATGGATTGTTTAATTTCATGCTGTAGTGATTACATGTATTCTTGGATAGGATAGTTATTGCTTTACATATAAATTACTTCATAATGGAAAGACTCTGAAGCGAGTCAGTGAGGTTTCTTTTCCTTATTTCCACAAAGGACAGTAGTCTCAGGGCTGTGAAGCAATGATAACAAATCAGCTTGCACAGATTGGATTCTTAAAGCACTTTGCGTAAAACCTGTGCATATGAAACTCCTCTACTTTCAAAACTGCTTTTGTACTTTGTATACTCCAGTGTATTTGTGAAGGTGGGATTCTGTGAGGTAATCCTCCTGCCATTAAGGAATATATATTCATCTTTCCTATTTGATTACTCAAGCAAAGATTTGTAGCCTCTTTTTGATTTTAGTTTAATTTTCTATTCAAAAGATTTCTTGTAAATTCACATATGGATTGCTGGAGTGATTTCAAGACAAGGTCAAATCCTGCTGACTATATAAATAAACAAGTATATACCAATTTTTTATTTCTTTTAACTAAGATCAAGATTTATTATCCCACAGAGTAATGCTATAACTGTATCTTTTTTTCTAGTGTCTACACTGTACTGTTCACTTTGACAGAGTTCTCTTATTTTGGGGCAAGGGGAAGTCTGGCCCAAGCTATACAGGATTTTTTTTGGATATGCTCAACATTAGGCATACGAGCAATAAAATTCCAATTCAGAAAATCACACATATGCTCTGTGAAATCTGCTAGAATCAAACACAGACTTAAATACATCTGGAACATTTCTGTTACATATTATTGGTTATAAGAAAAGGGGATTCTTTTGGAAATATGCAAACAAACTACTCCTCAAGCCACAGTGGTTCACTTACTCAAGAACTGAGCTTGTAGATTTACACTTGCCAAATTAGGTAGAAATCCTGCTGCTGCCAAAAGGGATGGCCCCATCTTCAACCCGAAATTAACCACACATTCCTGCCAGTTTCCTTCCACTGGTTCTAGGGATTATGTATTTGGTGTGATCTCTGTGTTTTCCAGTGATTCAGGTCACTTGACTTACGTGTGCTGAAGAACTTCAATGAATTAGGGTGTCAATTGAAAATGTGTGAGCTGCACTTTGCAAGACAGCATTCCATTTTTTCCTTTGTTTTTAATTAAAAATTATGCTTCAGAGATTCTGTAAAAGGGCAAGAGAGAATGCAAACAAAGTGAAGTCAGTGTGCAAGAAAAATATGTACATCCTAATGAATTAGGATGACCCCTTAATGGAATTTCTGCATCTGACTCTGGTGGTGGATTCTCTCTGAGCATTGTTCATCCTGCACACAGAAAGAAGTTATAGCTCAAGGTTTTGGACCTCAGAGTACAAGGAATAAGATCTTTGCAGCTTATCTGCACTTCGCAACCTTTCAGTTAAACATGCAGAACAGAATTTGTTTTATATGGAATAGTTGAGAACTATGAAAACAAATTTTGGCCAGAGTAAGATTATGAAAGTAGTAGAATGAAGCTGCCAAGCCTTCCTCAGTCTTTTAGGATTTGGACTCAGGGTTAGAAGACAGAAGGATGTGGACTATATAAAAATTAGCCTATCCAAATATTGTTTACATTAACATGCAAATACAATGATTTATAATCAAAGTATATGATTCACCACATTTCCTTTCTGTTTCCAGACAAAGGGTCCAGATTAATGAACTATAGTCAGTCAACAGAAGATTACAGACAACTCTCTTTGGATTATAGTGACTCTAATAGTATTTCTGAAAGTACATCTTTGATACTGTCTAACCGAGGACACAGGAGAGGTAAGATTTTTATAAAAGATTATGTTTGTGAATTATGTCTAATTTTGTCCCCTGAGGTGTGGGACTGACCATGTGCCAGGTGATACACTCCCATGCAACTTGTGGTTATGTGACTTGGGAGGTATATTTGTGCTAAGTTCTAGAGAAGAAAGATGCTTTTATATTTGATTTTTTTCACTTGTGTCCTACTGTAAAGCTATCTCAGGTTACCATGTAGTCCCATCACCTCATTCTTGCTTCACGCCCCCTTTGCCAGGTAATGCTGATCAGCAGATCTCAAAGCCTGACATGTTTTTAACACATGGGGTCTTGATACAGAAAAGGTGGGGCTACCCCACAAATGCATATGGTGGGCAATGTCAAGAGGTCAGCTCTGAAATCAGTTGAATCTATAAACAATGCCTAAGAGTGAATGTTCTATGAGGACATAATTCAGAAATTGGGCACATCCTGGGAAAAAACCCCACCACATCATAGACTCTGAGCCCTAAGCCCTCAGCCCAAGGATGAGGAAAGTGAGGTTACTCATGTTAATGCTCTCCTCCTGCAAGGCATTTTTCTGAAGCTCCAAAATTGCAATCAAACCCAGCAGCAGTAAAAACCTGAGATTGCAGCTGCTCCCTGAGTGACACATACGTGTCAGCCACATACACAGTCACACATAGTGAAGGTAAACTCAACAGAAGCCTGTTTTGTAAGCAGTTTAAAAAACATTTTGGTCATAAACTTGACAAAGGCTCATTCCAGCGACTGTGCATATCTCAATCTCCACTGAAACACTGGTAGCTGTTCATACTCAGGACTTTTTAAGACAGGATTCTAAAAATACATGAATAAACACAGAATGTGAAAGCTTGTTTGTCACAGACATTCTTTCATGAAATAATATATTTAAAAAAAAAAAACATTCTTCTCTAAAAAAAATGTTACCATCTGGTAGAGTACCATTATCAAAGGAGATCAATATCTCTATCAAAACTGTACATTAGAAGCTCATTTAATATATAGCAAATCTACAGCATCAACTTCTTTGAAGAATACATGTTAATTTAATGCCAGGTATGTGTTGGATTTGTGATCAAAGCATGGCAGTCTGGCCACTGAAAGTAGCCAAGTTGTCCCACTGCTGTAACAGCTGATATGGAAAAACTAAGGGGAATTTTATGTGCTTGTCAAAATATATTTATACAATTTTATGAAAACCACAGTGCAAGCAGAGAATTTTGAGAGGTTTTCTCATTAAAAAGCATGTTGTTTAAGAACACGGGATTGAATCTTAACTTTGGTAAATAGCTTATCTCAAATCTCACATTTTGTCACTACCATCTGCAGCTTGAAAAAGCCCCACATGTTTATGCTTATTTTAGCAATGCGACTGTAGATGCTCTAGGTTTTAAAATCGCAGTTGGTTGGTTGGTACACTAGAATTCGGTGTCATGTTCTCATGTTGGAACTCAGAGTGAAGTCTCAGGGTGTAGTGCATGAATGTTCTATCTAAATGATTGCTTCCACACAGCTTATCTTACCACCTCTATCATTCTACTTATGTAATAGTTTGATATGCAATTCTTCAAATAGGATCAATGAAATGATTCAAGTGAAGAAAAATTTAACCTTCTCACCCTTCCTAAGAACTTCAAACATCTCTGTTGATACAAGAGACATCCATAGAACTTGTATAACCCTCTGGTTCTGCCTCTAAATTTCAACCTTTGTGTATTTGGACAAAGCAACATCCGTCCATTCTGTAGCAACAGAGATGATTGAAGGTGAAAAACAATGCAATCCTTATTTGCTAAGGACCCATAAACCATCCACTACTCCCTCCATGTTTTTATGCTGTAAAAACATTCACAATATATTCAACATAACAAGTAACCAGGGGAAGAGATACAATCATTTTCATTTAATTGATGTTATATTCTACTCTGATTAAGCCAGAGAAGTTTCATGGCTTTTTCTACCCATTTTATGCCTGAAAATAGAAGAACAAAAATTTGGCATAATTTCTGAAGAGAAAAAGCTGTTTCACAAATTACCCTGATAGAGATGGAAATGACAGGCATTATACCTACACAGCTGTTTTCCAAATTACACTCACATAAAGGGTTATGAAGAGAAAGTAACAATAACTAGGGAACTGGGAATACTGCTGCTGTAGTATTCATTAACCTTATTAAATAGCCATTTATCATGTCCAAGCAAGGACACGAGAGAAGAAGTTGCCAGTCTAAATTTCTTTCCTGTTGTAATTGTCCCAACATCTGATGCTGAGTGCTGCTACTATCATTTGAAATGTAAAATTTCCTTTATTTACTGCAGGAAGAGCTCCAGAGACACACAGATCATGTGACACCACACTCAGTGGGTCAAGGACACAAAGTAGCTACAAGCTCTTCATAAACAGGTAAGCTCAATTCAGATTTTTATAAGATGGAAGCTGTTTTATAACCAAGTGAAGCTAGCAACTGGTGTGGCAATGCCAATATCAGAAAATGCCTGAATTGCCATCTGAGCCTGTTTTGCTAATAGATGCTATTTATATAGAATAAATAACTTAATAAATACATATTATTCTATTATGTAGAATAAATAAATCATGTTCACCTAGACTTGATTTGGTGCAAAGTGGAACAGTCCAAAAGCTCTAGTAAAATGGAACCCAGGCCCTGAACAATCAATACAAAACAAGCAAATTCAGGATTTCCACATTTGCTCTGTACCACTGTGTCCTGCCAGATGCCACAGGCCTCCCAGAACAGCTGCCCCTAGCTGTGTCTCCACCAGGCAGGGAAGAAGCACTAGCCCTCTATAACTGAAAAAACTGGGAAGCTGCTCCACAGAGACTGTGAAAACATGGATTTGATGATCTTAGAAGTCTCTTCTAACCTTAATAATTGTATAATTTTATGAAGGGAAAAATCTGTTGAAAAGCTATGAACAGTCATCACTTTCCCCATCAAGGCATTCTGTCAGAGTTCTTATTTGTCCACATTCAGATTTTGGCTCTCTGTCACATTAAAGTGCTGTCACACCTTATGTGTTCTGGATTGGTTATGTCAGACCATGTATACAATCTATAATTTTCATTTGCATTTCCACCTCAGTCCTTAGACTGATTTTTCTCACTTGTGTCAGTGATATCCAGCCCTACACTGCCACTTTACTGGAGAGTTACAGGTAATCCAGGGACACAGGCACTAAAGACCTCTGCTCTGTCATGAGGATTAGCCTCATTTCAGCCATGGTATGGACAGCAGCCCCGTAGACATTGGCAAAGAAAACTGAGAATTGTACAACTGATACTAACTCCTTTTCAAAAGCCAGGGTAACACCACTGCTGCCAAAAAAGTTTTCTATACTGTGTGTTAGCCCAGTGCAGCTATAATCATGACTGTTTCCAAACAAAGAAATGTAAGTACTGTCAGCCTCTAGGCACCACAAAGACCAGAATCCCATAGTTAAGCACCATGTAATCCCTACAGACATCCCATTTAAATTGGGTTCTTGACCCAGTTAAACAGGAGTTTCTGCTTTTAACATGACACGAGTAATTCAGGCCCACAGGAAATGCTCAATTTAGATCAACTCCAAATTAAATGTGTCCCAAGTAAACAGTTTGAACTTCCTGATAAATCAACCATGATAATCTGGGCAACATGAAATATTCCAGTACCTGTAAAACTGCAACAAGAGAGATCTACAAGCAGGTTGAAGGATAGTGACTGCTTTTGTCATGAAAGAAGTCTCTGTCTACTTGTCTAACTACACACACATACATTTATATGTGCGTTCACAGACATCTGTATATGCATCATGTATCTAGCAGTTATATGTGTAACAGAGGATTTATTTGCTGGCTACTTCTGAGCAATTGCCATACCTCTGACTAAAAACCTGGATACAATCTTAAAATGCTTGATTTAAAATCATGCTGCCAAGAATGAGTTCCCCTCCTCTGCTGAAAGACAAACCCTGTTCTCCAAATTTCCAGCAAGCTGTTTCCCATAGAACTTCCAGGACTGTAAATCCCACTCCTGGTTGTAAGCACCTGCAACTGAATTTCTACCACAGTAACCATCCAATTACAAATACCATGACAGCAGTGGGGTTGAAATGACTTTGGGAATCACCATTTTCCCATGTAGGAGTATAATCAACACAAAAATTAGTCATGGGTTTACTATCTATAAAGCTTACTAATATCATCGTGCTCATTCTGTAGGCAGCCCAATTAACATACTTAACATCTCACAAAGTGAAGCTTGTAAGCATGGCTCTGCTCTATATCTAAAGACACAACTGTCAAATCTGGCATCTCTCACCTAACAGAAGTAATAAAAGGAAGTGTTTTCCACAGGAAAAGAAAGCCTTCTTAAAAAAGAATCTTGTATTTTGAGTTAATAAATGTTGATCTTTATGAGGTTGCATTGATAGAAAAAAAAATCTAGATATCTTTATAAACAGAGGAATGTAAAATACAATAGGAAAGAAAAGAGAAGAGAAGAGAAGAGAAGAGAAGAGAAGAGAAGAGAAGAGAAGAGAAGAGAAGAGAAGAGGAGAGAGAAGAGGAGAGAAGAGAAGACTCACAATAATCATCTAATCCAACTGTCTGACCACTTAAGGGCTGATCAAAAGTTAAAGCATGCTATTAAGGGCATCTCCAAATGCCTCTTAAAAACTGATGGGCTTGAACTAGTGACCATCTCTCTGGGAAGCCTGTTCCAGTAAAGTAACTTTACTTAGTCCCCTTCTAAGTAAAGAAATGGTTCCTAACATCCTCTCTGAACCCCATCTACTGTAGCTTTGAACCACACCCATGTTCCCTGTTATTGGATACTAGGCACAAGAGATGAAAAACTACTCCAGTTAATTTGTTAAAATTTTTAGAAATTCCTTGAATGATTTCCTGAAGTAAATCTGCAATGTGCAAAAGAAAAGGATGAAACTTTGGGATAATGGAAAAGTTTCCATGTGTCTTTGATATTTGTTGAAAAAAATGCAATTAACAAAAGTCCACCTGAATGAAACCCCTCCTTCTGAACCACGTAATCATTATTTGTTCATTGAGTACATAGTATATTTGAAGTTTATTCTAAGGATATACATCTGATCACATGGAATACACCATTACTTTCTTCATTAAAACCATAGTACAAAGAGAGCTTTCTGATCTGAGATTTCACACACCTTTTTCTTCATTAAATTGAAAATTCCCTTAGCGCCCAAGGACATGAATATATCCTAATGAATAAGCATTCAAATAATTTAATTCCTATTCCTGGAAAATTCTGAATAATGTAATAACAAATGTTAAGGCTTTCTGAAGCTTTTTTCTTGAGAAAATAATAAATGAGGAATTTGCTTCATCCTGTAAAATTCCCAGAAGGGAATGGGGCTATATACTTACACTGTTGGCTTCACCAAATTTAAACAAACTTGATCTGGCTCACCAAATGAAAAAAAAAAAAAGAAATAAACCTGACTCTGTTGAATCAAAGCAGAGTTTAGATTTATTTATAAATGGCACCAGTAATATTACCCCTGTTAAATTATTTCTCTTTTTCTGTAAAGCATTAAGAAGCTTATAAGAGACATTGCCTTTGACTTCATAGTATTGCAGTAGTTACTGTACCTTAAGCTCTCTGTCCCCAAGTTGGTGTTGTGTTGATTGCATGTTATATATTTTCCTCACTGTGACATTTCCTTTGAAGGTCGGTGAGCGCTGTAGAAGAAATCCCGGGTGGAACACAGAAGAACAGCCGACAGAACCTACTAAGCTTGGGCTCCACCTTCTCTGTGTCTACAAAGGACTACTCAGCAGCTTCTGCATCACAGAAATGTTTGTTCCACAGGAAAGAAAAGGTGAATGATGCAAAACATATAAGCTGATTTCAAAATATCACTGAAGAGAAGTCTCTCATCTAATTTTTGTTCAACAGTGATGTGCATATTAGCTACTGAGTCATCTTATTAGATGAGTATTCTAAATTGACAGACTCCAAATTAAGCATGATCCAGTTGTGCTGTCAGAACTGAAGGCAGTGAAAGCAATTGTCCATAAAGACTATGCAAAAGCTGGTCATTGAACCCTCTCTGACCTACATACGTGATTTCTGCAAGCATCAAACACCATATGGACTGTTTTCACCAGCCACTTTGACTTCAGCTTCAGAACAGCAAAAAAAAAATTACGGAGACACTTAACCCAAACCTTTGCCAGCCAATGGTGCTCAAAGGACTTAATTTTTTTTTACAGTGCACATCTGGACAGAAAGCATAGACCAGCAGTGAATGTGCCCAGACAGTTCTCCTAATTGACTATTTCTAGTTGCTAAGTGGTGGTAGGACTCTGTTAAATGGAAAGGATAATGTTTCTTTAAAAGTTGGTTTGCAAAACTTCAGAAATAACTGAATCACTGAAAACTCCACCATGATCCTTCATATGGAGTTTTCTGTTGTGGAACAAGAAGGGATAGGTTTCAGGCTGATGAGTCCAGTTCAGAAGCTCAACAGTGACCAGTGACAAATATTTGGCCAAGAGCTTCAGTTAGACACTTTGGAAAACTATATTTTCTCATATAATTTTTAAAATTTTTTATTATTTTAGATTTAATTATTTTTAAATTTTATTATTATGATTTTTGTGGGGATAATAACGGCCTTCTACAGAAGGAGTTCAGCAACTGTTAAACACAGTGCTATTCCCTCTTTATTGTGATACAAAACTGCATTGTTTGTTGGTAGAACCATACTATTATTATTATTAAATAAATATTGAGGTTTTTTTAAAGTATCTGAATGGGTCTAGTTACTAAGTCGTGGTAAATGGCCAGAAGGTTTCACATCTTATTACTTAAAGACAAGGGGGATCTAAAAGCATAGATGCATCTGATGAAAACCCAATATATACAATTAGTTGAGCTGAATGCTCAGCAAGAAAAAAAAGACCTTAAAAAATGTTGAAGTTATTTGAAATTAAAACAAAAGAATACAGTGTCTACTAATAAGAACTATCAGTCAACCTTTATTATAGGGAGGACTGTATTTCAGTCTAGCTCCTAAGAAAGCTGGGCTTATTCAATCACAGTGGTGTGTATGTATGTATTTACATGTCTGTGACTGTCCTCAGAGTAATTTGGGAATCAAATGAGAAAAACTCTCAGAATAAATTAAGTTTCTGTGCCATGAAAACAGGTGCCTTTCAAAGGAAATAGATTAAGTGCCTTTATAGAGGAAAAGGCTTCAGCATGAGCTTACCCCTACTTAGACCCTGGTGAGTCTACACAGGAGATACCCCAAACAGAGAGAAGTCATCAGTCAGCATTTGCACCTTATTAGACACTGAAGTCAATTAGATCCAGCATACAGATCAATAGAAATGGGTTTCATTGATACTTGTGTTTGGGATCTTCATTCCATTAAGAAGACTTACTAAATTTCTAAATTGTCTCCTTGCAGTTTTCAGGTCCAGAGTTTGTTATTTTGTCTAGTGAACCACCAGTGACCTTACAGCTGCCTGGATCAATTGTGGTAAGTATGAACATTAAGAATTTAGAACTAATCCAGTGACATTTTAGTCAGGGCTCTTTGTAAGTAGCACCTCAGTCTCAACCCAGTATTCTTCCCATGTCCTCCTCTCAAAACAAGTTAGGGTTCCTATAGAGGTATTGAGACTTGAAAGGATATGCTTTAATTCTTAGCGCTATTTAGTTACTTCTGTGGCTGAAAAAAAAGCTTCATTTATCCTTCTCAGCTAAGAATGCTCACTTTAGCCCTAGACTTTTGAGACAAAGACTGTACAGCGAATCTGCAATATGACATTCCAATGTGAAGGACTTCTCCAGCTTGAAAGCACATACTTTACCTTTGCTTAAGATTGGGTAGAAAGTTGACAGCAGACAGCAGTAAAAATGAGAGCAAAGCAAATTTGGAATTAGTCACAAATCTAGAATAACCCTGGTGACTGGAGAATTTGAGTATGCTCAGCTGTTTTGTTGTGATTCTCTTGTTTTTTTTAAAAAAAAGAAATATTTGTGATATTAATTTATGAGAATGGAGACAGAGAATAGCATGGTGTTGTGACCAGTTCCAACAGGTTGTATAGAGACAGGCTACTAGTGGGCCTCAGTAATAAAATACTGTGGAACTCGCATTGCTTATACTTGGCACTCATTCTTCATTCTTTCTTGTGTGTTCTTAGACTAAAAAAGGGAAATCCTATTTGTCCCAAAGGGATCTTAATGTAATTCTACTCAATGGCCAGTGCCTTGAGGTGCAATGTGACATCAAGACCAAGGCAAGAGATGTTTTCAACACTGTGGTGGCATATGCAAACTTGGTGGAACATTTCTACTTTGGCTTGGCTTACCTGAAAGGTAATGAGACACTTAAGTACAGTGACAGCTCTGTCCCTCAGTGCCTCTGGAGTCACTTTATCAATGAGTTCCAGTAAGATCCTTTAAGATCCTTAGGTAGAAGCAGATACAAAGCTTGTGCAAAAATAAGGTATGTTGATTAAAACTACACTGCACTGATGGAAAGCATGTCTGCCCTAGGACTGTGCATCATCACAGCCATATGACATTTACTGGCTGATATTCCCAGGCAGAAAATGCTGTGTCCCAGCCTTGCACTCAAATAATACTGAGCCATGCAGCTCCAGCAGAAATTCCAAGAAGCAGTGCACTTGGAAAGATTGCTTGTGTTTATTCCTAGATATAAGTGGGAATAAAGGTTCAGATATGTCATCTACCAGACCCACGTTTCCCCCTCATGCCTTCTGATGGCAGGCACAGCTGAGGCACTGGGAAAGAGCACACACCTTGTGTGTAGAGCATGAGGATTACAAAGGAGTGCAGAACCTGAATGGTGAGAAGAATGCAAGCCCCATGAATCCTTGAGTGATTTCACAGATACCATACTAATCCAGCATCTAACATTTGTAATTCAAAACTACATACTGTCCTAAGTTCTCCATCAAAGGAGCAATAAGTAAAATCATGACACAGAGAAGTAAATCTCAGCTGACATCCCCAATTCATTTTATGTTTTATTGCTAGTGATGCACTCAATGAAGAAAGCAGAACTTTAAGCTGCTGAAATATATCCAGGTTTATCACAGAACCCAACATTCTCATTTCAGGTAAAGAATTCTTCTTTTTGGATGAGGAGACCAAACTCTACAAAGTTGCCCCAGATGGCTGGAATGACCAACCCAAGAAGAAAATGTCCATTATTAATTTCACACTCTTTCTAAGGATAAAATTCTTTGTCAACCACTTTAATGTTATTCAGTAAGTGCACAATTCTGCTGATGGAAGGAAAACCAGTAGCATTTAGGGATACCATTCAAAGCTGCTCCTGAGTTCCTAAACCCTTTTCTGTTCCAGGCACGGCTTGACAAGGCATCAGTTTTACCTGCAGCTTCGTAAAGATATTTTGGAGGAGCGATTATATTGCAGTGATGAGACTGCCCTGAAACTCGGCGCTTTGGCTTTGCAGGCAGAGCTTGGCAATTATGCTTCTGAGGTGTGGAGAAATAATGCAGTATTTCTCAAAGGTCTCTCTGTACAACTTTTGCAGCTTTTGTTTGTCACATAGTGTTTAAAGAGGAAATGTGAACAGCAGAAAACTTCAGTTAAGTCCTCCAGATAAGTCCTTCAGAGTTAATAAAAAAAAATTACAAAATTTTTCTGATGATGGAATAGTAATGAGCCAGGTGAATTTCCCAGGAAATATGACAGAATGATGAGAGAATCTAGGTTCCTCATAATTGATAAGATATCCTGGAAACTCCAGAAAATCTGTAGAAAGTTTCCAACACAGGCCCAGCTTGGACGTGCAGAGGGGTTTAAAGAGATTAGTAAATAGGGAAGAGAAAAGAAAATGAACACTTCAGAATTCACAGCTATTTTATGTCTCTGTATATCTGACTAGCTGTCCTACTTTTGAAGTGTATAGAAAACACCCATTTATGTTGTCTTCTGTATCTTCAGCTACATAAATCAGTGTAGCTCTGTTAATTGAACTCTGAGTGGTCTGATCCATGTATTCAGATCCATCATGGCAATGCAGGTTGTACTGATGTACTGTTGTACTGATGCAGCTGTAGCTGTCAGCAGTGCAGGACACACCTGTAGGCCCAGCTCCTTTCTCCCCTCTGCCCAAAGAAGTGGAGTGTGCTTGGAGCAGCTGCCTGAACACAGGGGCAAGAGGCAATTTGGCTGTCAGGATACTAGGTGCTGTTCCATCTGCATATGGGTCACCCTGAAAATGGAATGCAGTGAATAATAAAAGTCAAGAAAGAAGAAAATGCCCCTGTCTCTTTGGTATTTTTTCAATTTTTTTTCCCCTACAGATGCATGGAAAGAGCTATTTTCGTGTTGAAGACTACATTCCAGCAAGTCGAATAGAGAAAATGACCCTGGCATATGTACAGCGAGAGCTTGCTAAATTACATCGTATGAATCGCTCCCTATTTGAGGATGAAGCTGAACTAGAATTTTTAAAGGTAAATTGCCTTACCCCAAACACTATTTATCAATTTTGAGGTAGAAAGCCTCTCTCTAGTTACTCTTGTCTATTTTCTTCTTGCCTGATACGGTAGATTTTAGATATGATGAAAAAATTTGAATAGTCAACAAAAATCTCAGTATTTCATTCTGCTGTAGATACTGTCACTTATCACTGAGAGTTTTCATAACACGTTTTGGTGTATTTGCAGCATTCTAAGGCTTCATGTAAATTTTTGGCATGTTACCAACATGTCTGGGCTCCAGAAGATTATAAAACATGAGAATAATTTTGACTTCAGAATTTACAGCAACTGTTCAGCCACTTTCTAAACATGTAGTGATTGTTTGAAAGTATCTGTGAACCCTGGAAGTGAGGAAGGAGTTATCTGAAGTATTTTTTCATTTGTCTACTTCTCTAGGGCTCTAAAGCGTCACAATGTTGTGGGATTTAACTTTTTCCTGCTAATTTGTCCTTCTCCCCAAACCTCTCTGCTTTCCATCAAATGAAAAATATCAGGGATTAAATAATGGATAAATACCAGTAGTCATTTTGCTGCAGTGCCACACACCGTTATTCATAGCATTTTAGTTCAGCTGCTATTTAATTTTATTAGTTCCTCATCTAACACTGTCAGTGCAATTGAAGAAAAAGATTGAAGCTTAGCCTTAATGACAGTCCCATCATGCATGGCAAATCCAATGAAGAAAAGCAGCTTTGTTAGTATCTGTTTCAGTAAGTCTGTAGAAGGAGCCAACACATCATACAAAGTGGGAAAGACAGACCCCATGGCAAGAGCATGTAAATTCCAAATATGAAAGGGATTAAAAATTAAAACCCAGATTCAGCTAGTGATTATAGATGCCCTAGTTTTCAGGACCTGAACATTTGTACTATGGTTACTTTCTAAAAAAAATAGATCTTCTTAAAGTGTTTTATTTTGGTCACTGAAAATCTCTGTTCATAATTGAAAAGTCATTTGGGGATTCTACAGTAGCTTCCCAGAAAGGAAAAATAAGGTTTTAGGATAAACTTATATTGGTCTGCAGATCAGACAGTAAATCCTAGTTATATTCCAGAGTTCTGTAAAGTGTCTGAGTCACATTTTAACATTTTTGTGGCCAAGTATAGGAGGTAGAAAGACAAGAATGAACCCCCAGAACCTCTGGGTGAGTTCCTCAGAATATCCCCTGCATGGCAGGGGCAGACACTGGCTCCTCAGACACTCAAAAGCATTTTCTCCTCCCTCTACCCAGATTTTCTTCCCATTAATCTTTTTGAGTAAGGCATGGTAAAAGCACTTTCTCTCTACAAGGTGACTCAGCAACTTCCTGAATATGGAGTGTTATTCTATCGTGTATCCCAAGAGAAGAAAGGGACAGAAGGGGACATTATCCTTGGAATCTGTGCCAAAGGCATCATCGTCTATGAGAACAAAAATCACACAAGAATTGCCAGTTTAAGATTCCAGTGGCGTGAAACAGAAAGAATTTCAGCTCATGTGAGTTGGAACTAACTGAATCTCTCTCTAAAATATCTATTGTTTTACTGCCTTTCTTCCTGTTGTTTTGACAAATTTATTGCATTCAGAGTGAGAATGAGAGTGACTCTATATGGGCAAGCCCTTTCTGAAAAGAGTTTAAAATCAAAGCTTGATCGGGATGTGGATATGAAGATACTGAGTTCTTTGTGAGGTATAGTTCTGCAGTATTTATGTCAAGGCCAAAGACAAATGACTATAAAATTGAATAATCTGGTGCTGATTATTACAGAGACTATGCCAAATTTCTCTGCAGCATATTCTATACTCATTACTCTCTTGTCTTTACTGCTCTTTTCTTCTGTTTTTCTGCCTACATGAGGTCATGGGATTATGTCTTCCACTTTCCAGATCTCATTATACTCATCCTCATCTCCTTGAATATTGAGGTCTGCTAACAAACTAGTATTGGTGACAAGATTGTGACCCATTTCTAAATGGGATTTTGACATTAGAGGTGAATCAATGTACTGTTGTACAGTTTAGGTGCCAAACTGGATCACAAATTTTCCAGCTTGCTTGCTCTCCAAAAATAGTCCTCTCCCTTGAAGATATGTTCCTTTTCATATTAAATTTGTTTAATAATTTTAACATCTGTGGGGCCAAATGCTGCAGTTTCAGAAACCTGCTGTCAATGCATTCAATGTCCTAAGGCTCTTGACTTTCAGCATAGAAGAGTTATGATCCCAATGACAGACACCTGGCTTACAAGTGCTGAATTTACAACAGGCATTTCCTGCATGCAAAAGGGATGCAGTCAGGCATAAATACAACTGGAACAAACCAACAAGATTATAAAAATGAACTGCCAGTGCCTCAGTGTAGTGACTGATATATGAAGCAACCTGTGCTTTTATTTCCCCTTCAGAGAAAAAAATTCATGATTGAAAGCAGTTTCAGTGGCAAGAAACACACCTTCATTACTGATACAGCGAAGACATGTAAATACCTACTGGACCTCTGCTCTGCCCAGCACAAATTCAATGCACAGATGAATTCTAGGCAACTTCGGCAAACTTCATCAGGTGAGGTATAAATGCACTTTTGCTACAGGGACCATAGGACAAGGTTATGTTTTAGGTAAGGTACATGCACCAAATCTGAGAATTAGAACCTGCCACCTCAGTTTCACTCTGCTTCAGTAGAAAATAATTTCTCCTACTATACTGAAAGTTAGAAGAGTCTAATTTGTCTCATTAAGTCTAATTCAGCATATGTATGTTAGTAGGCATGTGCAGGGGATGAAGAGAGATTCTCTGACCAGAACAACTATGTAGCTGAACTCAGATTTAAAAAAGAAATAAGCATGATTTCACTTCCCTTCAGGAGAATTCTGCTGATGAAAATTCTGCAGAAATATATCAGACCTACCCCAAATATAACCTGAAAAATGTTCCACACAAATTAAAACTATAATAGTGCCCAGACATGCTGGAGCTGAACTTAGTTATTTTGCATAAGAAAGGGATGCAACCCAATGGTTCAGTCCCAGGACAAAACCGCTAAAGGCATGTGAGTCATAGCCACTTCACTGTATAGCTGCTAGCAGCTCTTAGATTTTGCCATGCCTGTGGAAGATATGAATGGCAGCTCCTCAGGCTTCAAATTTTCCATAGTTTCTAAGACAAAATGCTGCTCCATCCAGGGCAAGTACATAGCACATATCATCCACAGTTGTCAGCATGTTCTGTAAAGATGGGCAAAGATTGTTATGGAGAAACTGAGGCACATAAGAAATAAGAGCCTAAGCTGACAACCATCATCACTCTTTACTTCAGTGGAGCAACATGAGTTTTCACTAGCTCATCCACTGCCTTTAACAGAACCATGATCATTTACAACCCCTGAGTGTTTGACCTGGTGAGTCACTGCAGGAAAATCAAATGTCATGCCTTATCTTCTGGGATGCTCCTTTCTGTAGTAAAACCATAAAAGTGTTGGCAACAAATAATACCATGGCATTCAACAGGATGATTGATATATTGCCTCCTTACCACTAAAATTATTTAATGAAAGTTGAATTTTTTGCACAAAATTGTTATCATGGAAAAAAGCCATAGGATGGCATTTAGGTTCAAGGCATCTTGAACCTAAATGTTTGTTGCTTGACATCTCCAGCTTCTAACATGATTTAGTGGGATTGTTCTTTATTGCATTAAAATGAGTGCTAATAGTGCATCTTACAGTTGCCTGTGTCACATTTGCTTGTGGTAATTTATCTTAAAAAAAAAATTACATTCCATATATAACAGAATACAGTTATTGAGAACTAAGAAAATTATAATCCAAGTGCTGATTACAAGTACACCAAATCACTGAAACAAGCCAGACTTGCACAAGCCACGTGACTGCAGATTCTGGGCTTCAGGGTGAGCTTGCTGTCCCAGAAAAAAAAGCTTAGTAAGGCAGTGACAGACAGTAGTTCAAAATTCTGCCTTTGCCACCACTCACCACAGTGAGTCTGTAAGAGATTACGAGACTCTTTCTGCATGTTTCTGCTTTTGATGCACTGCTCAGATTTATAGTCACCATCAGTTCAAAACCTGAAGCAACCCTCTACTTCAGAATCACCGTGGCAACGCCTAGGCTGAGCTAATACTCTGGATAGTTAAGCCTCCTGATGCCTTAAGAAATGCCTCTAATCAAAGTCTGAGGAAAGAGGGAACCTAGATTTAATGCTGCAGAGTAGTGTTCTAGAAAGTTGTATTCAGGCTACCATTTGTTAGAAAAACACACAGGACTTTAGCTGGCATGTAGAAGCAGAATTTCAGCTCATGTTTATGCTAGCCTGTATCAAGTTAAGATTTTGTTTTATTTTCCAGTGTGTCTGCAATTGCCTGCTGTCATTCCATCCTCCAAGTCCCCTCTCCAGCCCACCCACTGAGAACCTAAATAAATTAATTTCTCTTTCAGCACCACCTTGTTTCAGAAGAGGACAGATTTGTATACAGCAGAGCCCAGGTGTCATTAAGCAAGTAGTAGATTTCACAGAAAGGTAGAAAACTGGATAGAAGGTATTGCCACCAAGATGGTCCCCATTTGACTTCACTTGTGCAAATGACTCAGTTCCTTGGTGTTCCCCTGAACTTTGGAGAGAATATTTCCTAGAGTTCCTCTCTTCTTGGATATAAATATACTGGAGTGGAATGCCTGTGAAGGATGAGAAATTAGCAACCTGGATAATTCAGACTCTGAAAGACAGATATTTCTCATACACCAATCATTTACAAAATACACTTTACAGAAATATTCAGGTTTAAATTATATAGGGTTGCACATTTCACCTGTCTTTGTGGAAAGTGCACTTGTAGTATAATTCACAGAAATTAAACCTAAATGCAGCATATACTTTTTATGAAAGAAAACTCCTTCTATTCACCCCAAGACCTAGGTGTCCACAAGGATAAAAGAACAAATACATCTGTAATGTCAATATTTTTTCTGGCATATTCAAAATATTTTATTTAAATTTCCTTTGAGCTTAAAGAAATGTGATAATATCAGTGGATTTGTATTTGCTTCTTCTCCCCTCCTGCTTCTCATTCAGAGGACAGTAAATTTCTGGAAATAGACAAATCAAATTCTGCATATGCAGCTCAGCATGAACACCTTGCCCTTATTCAGAGACTGTCTCGGTCAGAGAATGTGCTTTATGGAGCAAACCTGGAAAACCTTTCTGCTGGGATGATGAGCAAATCTTGTGATAACCTCAGTGTGGAAACCAACAACAGGACTAGAGACAAAAGCAATCTTGGCAGGTAGGTTTGCTTTTTCTCTCTGAACATGTGTAAGAAGACTCAGACATAAACTTTTTTTTTTTTTAAGTTCTTACTGTGGTCACACCAAAAGGTCTGGGGCTCCATGGTGCCAGTAGTAGTGCAAATGCAGGCAGCAAGTTAATTGGCTAACCAAGAAGAACTTGAAAAAGAGTGACATTTAAATTTGTAGCAGACTCAAGAAGAAACCACTAATTGGGTTATGGGGTATTAAAAAAATGAGGGAGAAGAAATGTAATATATTTAATGTCTGCGTATCTTCACTGGAAATTACAGCATGTGAACTAAAAAACCATCAGAAGCTGGTTTTGATCAGGAATGCAGAGATCATTACTTAGTTGGCCTCCATGTCTAAATGCGCAAATCATAGGGAACAGTGCAAGAACTTCTTCCTCTTTGTTTTGGTGCATTCACCTGTGTAGGTGGTTACTGTAGCTGCATAGCCTCAAGGTCTTTGATGAATTCTAGTGCCTTTTAGAATACTAAGGGTTGGAATAGAGTCAAGGAGAACATGAACTACCAGAAAAACTTTCAGATATGGTTTTGTCTAAATGGACAGCAGGGTTAAATGAATCATGGTGAACCTATGCAGTGTTTCTTGATACTTGCAGTCAGCTCAGAGCAAAACACAGGAGGCATCAGTCATGACATGAGTGGTCTAATGACAGCTGTTATTTGGAAGGAAATGTTGGCAAGGATAAACTACCTCTCCCCTAAAATTAAATATGTCCCAGAAATCAGAATACTCATTGAAAGGCTATAAAACTGTGTGTTCCCAACTTGGCTCTGACAGATTAATGACAATGAAGACAATGACAATGACTAAATACCATTGCTGATTTTTTATTGTAACAGTGTCCCTTTCCTGCCATGCAGATCTGTATCAGGGCTATCCCAGTCAGAAATGCACATCAATTCAAATGGAAAGCAAAGGAGTTATGACTTCCTCTCAATCCATTCAACTCAGAACACAATCAGTGGTGAGTATAATAATCATAAAGAGAGATAGTGTCCTTCCATGTTTATTGTTTCAATAGAAGGAGACCAATGTATACTTTACTTATAAATTAAAGACTATCCTTTTTCATAGTCCTGGAAATTAATCCAGAGTTTAGCAAGACAAGCTGTTTTCTTCCCCTTAACTCCCACTTTGTATCAGGTTCAGTGGAAAGAGACTTTGTGATAAAATGAATCTATATGCTATATATATATATATATTCTATAATGGTCTAATGCTCTATAGTGCCTAATGCTCTACAGAGATGGAGTTCAGTACACTCAGAGACTCTGGCATGGAGCAATATCCCCGTGCTCAAAGGTCATTGTTTGGTTTGAAACTGAGATCTACAACTCGATAATTAATGAATGAGTCAGCATAGGCTCCAGGTCTTTCCTCTGCTCTTGCACTTGCATGACACCTCCTGGAATAAGGACTGGATATCTAATTTTCTATCATAAGCCAGACTGTATGCACATGGGGAGCCAATCTATGGAATATGAAGCTATGATTATCTGGTTAGTCTATTTAAAAATTAGAACAGTACTTTAAACACACTATGACAATTGCTCAATGTTAAATAGTCATCCCTGCAATCAGTGTTGGTTGGATTGCACCTTCAGAGCCAAAAGGGCCCACAGGGCCTAAGGCTAGAGCCCACAGAAGATTTTGTGTCCAAATCACCCTCAGGTTCAGTGGACACTACATACCTGACTCTTTAAATATTCTAATCTTAATAAAAACATTGCAGAAAAATATATATTCTCCCAGAAAGGAACATTGTAGGAAGAGCTTGCACAGCCCTTTACAGAGTTTTTTTTAAAGAATAAAAACTTCTGAACACTTGTTTGAGCTTCCTTCAATAATTATATTGATTCAAAAGTAAGAGTAATATTGAAATCAAAGATAAAATATATATTAATTTTTGAAGCTCCAGTTTTCATAATACATGAATATACTGTCTATAAATGCATCAATCTACATTTATTATAGCTGTTTTGTTTCTGCAGCACCTGGATCACCAGCCATGCAAAAGGAAGTTTTGCTAAGTGGTCTAGAAAGAGAAATCATTTGTGTCAGCCTAAAACGTGACCCTAAGAATGGATTTGGTAAGTAATGAACATAAATATTATGTTTGTTACTGGAACCATCAGATCCTTGTGTTAACACTGATGCTAGCTGATTCAGGCTGGGCAGGACTGTAAACTCCTTTAGTTCATTTAGAGTAAGAGTAGCAATCTTTGTGAAAGACTCAGAATTTCCAGGACTGAAAAGAACTAAGCACATAAATCAAGACCATTATATTTTCAGAGGATTAACTAAGGTCACAGAGACCAAAGGTACCAAGTGCTAAGAGTAGAATGAAAGAAACATGGTTTTAGTTTTGTATGTGAAGTACACATGCACAGATTTTATTTCTCTTAGACCTTACAGGTGGTACCTGTGGGGGCACAAAATGTTTATACCAGCTTAACATAAATGTTTCTCAACTTTTGGTTTGTTACTTGGATAATATTTTTTGTTATCTAATACCTTAATCACACTGTATCTGGTTCTAGTGGATAAGTTCAGACCATCAGGTTTCACAAATGACCATTAATATAATTAAAAATCAAATTTATAAATGGTGCAGGTCTGTGTATAATGTCCTAATCCCAAACCCAACTGTTATAGCAGTGAGAAGAATATATTTCAATAGCCAGAGTTAGGATAGTGAAACTGAACTACCAAACAGTAGATTTAATTTTCACAGATCTCTTACATTATAAGTTTACATGGCCCACCTCAGGTTTCCTGGTTGCATGATGTAGAATGATCAAATTTATCTAATGAGCTTTTATACCATTTCCCTCCTGCAGGTGTTAAATGCTGCAGGTCTATCTAGTTCATTACTCATGCAAGTAAGTAGTTAGGTTACCAAGCCAGAAAAAAATTGTTATTATTATTGGGAAATTTTATCTAAATAGTGACCAGAGACACCAGCACACTTTAATTATGATCTAAGTTTAAAGCACTCCCAAGTCAAGACCTTGATCCCCTGTAAATCAAAGCTCCCCATGCCTAAGATCACATACAAAACTTCTGCCATTGGAGTAAGAGCCTTTTGTGCTCCTAAGATTAATCTTTTTTAATACTGCCACTGTTTGCATTCTCATGCTATCTCATTTTTGCAGGTTTTGTAATTATTGGAGGAGAAAATGTAGGAAAATTAGACCTTGGTATCTTTATCGCTTCAATTATCCCTGGGGGACCTGCAGACAGAGCTGGAAACATCAAACCAGGTCATTTTCCGTAGTTTTTAATTAGAATTAAAATACTTGCACAGTTTAGCTATGTTATATAAAGTTAGCTACTCTGGATGTATTTCCTTATTTAGATGTGCTTTCTCTTGCCTTTATTTTTTTTTTTTTTTTAAGGAGGACGACTCATCTCTGTGAATAATATCAGTCTTGAGGGTGTTTCATTTAATACTGCAGTTAAAATCATACAGAATTCTCCTGATGAAGTGGAGCTTATCATCTCTCAACCCAAAGGTATAAAGGCAAATGCCTCTGCTGGCTCTGGGATGCTAACAGTTAACTCAGGACACTCATATTAGGCACTGGGATGTAGTACTACCTTCCTGCTACTGAATGCCAGTTAGAACAACCATACACTAAAATAGTCGACTCCTAGGAGGTATCATGTGATGTCTCTGCTACATCAGTGTGAAAAAATCTATTATGGGCTGCCTTGCTGAACACTAAAGGACTTCTGGCATTTCCTTCTCTGACAGAGAGTCATAGTGGTCTGCAGTGAGGAAGCAAACACATTCCTGAACACTTACAATAGCAGTGCTCCATTTTACATTGACAACTCATTTTATAGATCTGATTTAACAATCAGTTGAAATAGAAAGTTACTTTCTCCTCTTGTGCTGGTTTATAACAATATTCTTCTATAAGTTTACTTGCTATTTGTATTCAACAATGTCTTATTTTGGTATGGCTTTACAGACGTGTATGAAGAAGGATTAAATGAAGACAAGAATCTATCAAGAGGAAACAGCACTAGTGGATCTGAAATCTCCTGTGTAGACAGTGGGAGAAAAAAGATTCAGGATTGTCATACAGCTCTCCTCAAAGAACAGGACACAAATATAGATGAACTTGAGAAGACTCTCTCTTGGAATTCAGCATCAAAATCGGGCCCTAGGATTCCAGTTCCTTCAGCTGATAGCCTGGATGTAGAGGTAACTGAGATTTTGATGCTACTCAGTAATGTTACACACAGCACACAACATATAACAACATACCAGATACATGTAGGAGGCAAGGTAACCATGAAGAAAAAGAGATAGAAAACCTTTAAATAAATTACATTGAAAATGTCAAAATGATAGACATGTCGGGAATACGTAAACAAATGGGGAAACTGTTCTGAAAAGCGTTTTAAAATTCTCCTTCCTTTTCCAGTGGAGGGACAAAATTTTGAATGCTTTCTTGCAATCTTTAAGTTTTCAAACCAGTCACAGAACATGCCATGTCTAATTTCCTACTTTTAGACATCCTCCCTATGCATACTTAGGTTATGTGCATTTAGACAGATTGCATTTTGAGTAGCATTAGCATAAGCTTCCAATAACTCAGGGATATAAATGGTACCACTCCAGGTTTACAGTGACAGCAGGATCAAACCTGCTCTCTTCCTTTTTTTTTTTTAAACTCCTTCTCCCCAGCGTGCCCCCCCCCCCCGCCAACTCTTTGTTTTTAAACTGATGCTGTAATCTCATTAAAGTTTTTATTTTTGAGACAGGCAGCTGATTCTTCCCACTTAGCATCTTCATCAGAAACCAACTCAAAGGAAATCTACACAGTGGAACTTGTTAAAGAAGATGGGACTTTTGGAATCAGTGTGACTGCAAGTGTTACTGTTAATCTTTAATTGTCTGTCAAATTGTTACCTGACTGAGAGCAAAGACAGAAGACGGGCTGATAACAGAAATCATTATCATGGCACATTTTAAACCTAAGTGTCCAACTGATTGACATAGAATGCATGAAGTACTGCCTCTGCTCATTCCCTGGTTCTTACCCACACCAACTGTCAGAGAAGTGTCCTGGCATTAAGCACTTGGCAGTACAAGCCCCTTTTGGCCTTACTCAATTTGGGAACAAGATCTACCCCTGAAAGCAGAGTTTGGTCAGGGAGGACAAGAGAAGGCAACAATAAAAAATGTCTGCCACGTTTGGATAACAAGTCCTTGTCCTAGCTATTTAAGTTTAATTTATTCCTCCAGACCGAGATGTCTTTTACAGTCTTTGCTGAAATGAAATGGGAAGCAACAGCCATTTCATTGCCTGCAGAAGAAATTAAAGGCCATTTTTTTCATCTGAATTTGGCTAGGGGATATAGATGGACAGAACATGATTGTTAGGTTAATCTGGAATTTCTCTGAGTGCCCAAGTTCAGGTCCATGCTTGATATGTTGTCTGAAAGATTAATAATTGAAGAATGGATATTGCACAGCTTAGAAGCTGGGCTAGAGGATAACTGAAAGATGCAAGACCATTTTATGTGAGCATAAGAAAAAATTTATGAATGTTTAGTAAATATTTTTATATAGTCACATAGAAACACATTGTATTTTCCTGAGAAAATAAAATAAGATTTGTGCCTATGGAAGTATATTACAACTAAATTGGGTTTTGGAGTAATATCCTCTTTCCCTTTTTTCCAATATTTAAAGAAGAAAGTAATTCCTGAAGCGGTTACTTTGCAATGCGTGTGTAAATTGCTTTGATTTTTACCACAGGAAGACTATATGAAGACTCTAACCTGTGGGCATGTTTTGCAGGGTGGAATTAACACCAGTGTGCGTCATGGTGGGATATATGTGAAGTCAATTATTCCCAGGGGACCAGCAGATAAGGATGGACAAATAAAGATAGGTAACATGTCTGGCAATAAAACCCTGGGCTGCAGAACTCAGTGTGGATGATGAAACACATTTGGGATTGGACGTGTTACAACTGTGAAATGTAATATATTGTCCATCATTCCTTAGCCTGTCTTTGTACTACATGTAGGGATCCCACTGAAAAAACAGAAGCCTCACACCAACATTGTACAGTTACCCTCTGTAGCTGCTATCAGGCTAGTGATTCTGACATCATTGTTACTGTGATAACCAGATGCTATCACTGCATTTACTTACAGAATACTCTGGAATGTTTTAGCTGCTAGTTATAGAATGCTGTACAGCAAGCAGTATTGCTTTCCTATGAATTAATATTAATTTGACACATGTAAGCATTAGGATCTGTTGTAACATGGGCAGCCTCAAAGTTTACACCCTCTGAACCTGAACATCAAAGCAACTTGATGTTCTTTGTTGTTCTTTGGTTTTCTTACCTCAGGTGATCGTCTGCTGGAAGTAGATGGCATCAGCCTCTGTGGCATCACCCACAAACAAGCTGTGGAACACCTTAAGAAATCTGGCCAGGTTTGTACAGCAGCAGAGATCAATAAGATACCCAGTAGACTAAACTGGATTTAGTATGAAGCACAAGTACCCAAGTTTGGCTGAAAGAACCGCCCCCGCTCTGCTCCTACCCCATTCCTCTAAACAGAAAAGTAAAAAGACTTAGGTCTCACTGTGTCCTGTGTAACTGGAACCTGCTAATCACTGTTATAGATTGCCAAACTGGTTCTAGAAAGGGGAAACTACCAACTGGCAGAGCCATGTTTGACTGCTAATGACAGAAAGGAGGACCAATGTGCAGTTGTTTCTGTGGCAACATCCCTCACAGATGGTACCAAGGACTGCTGCTTTTTGACAGATGGTGAGTGATAAAGAAGAAACTCAGGGTGACTTCCTACAATGTGCAGGAAAGGAATGAATGAAAATAATTCTATGAAATTTCTCTGGGTTGGAAGGAAAACTGTATACTGAATAAAATCATAATGTTCAATATTAATATTATCAAAAATCAATTCTGAACAAAATATTTCTGATGTTTGTAGAGTCACAGTGGCTAGATATAGCTGAATTTATCCTAGGCATAAATACTGTGTCTCTCAGCCTTGGTGAGACTGGACTGCCAAGGGGACACCCCTGTCTGTACTCCACAGCACTGCTGGGTAGGAAGCAGCTGTGTGGATGTGGCCAGGCTGATACCCAGGGAGAGCCTTATCAGCACAACTGCTGATGCTGTGACAGTGATGAAGCTGGAATAAACTGGAGACTGCCATCACTTAATTTCTTAAAAGCCAAAGATTTAGAGATCACTTACACAGAATTTAGCCAACAAATAAATGCTGTATTTTTTACTGAAGGCTGTCTCATAAACACTAAGTCTGAACCATGCTTTTCCATGGGGCAGTTACTCCTCTATACTGAAATTCAGCTACAAGCACGGTGTTTGGGAAAGGCCTGATCTCTCATTCTTGATTCTTGGAAAGAGCAGTAGCTCCGTTTCTAGCTTATGCTGGTTGATGCAAGACCTGAACTAGCACTTGGCAGCCACAGAATAGTCAAAATCTATGCAACACTTACAGAAGAATGTAAGAAAAAGATAGCATGTGAATCTCTTTATGTCAATACAAAAAGCTTTTTCCTTTGTGGGCTTGTACAAGATTATGAACACATGGTGGAATAGATTCCTGTTCTCCCTATTCTGATTGTGAGATTTCAAAGACCTTCAAAGATAAAGGAACACCTAAACCTTCTTTTGACTTTAGTATCAGTAGATCTATCTCTGCAGCACATAGGGAAAAAAATCTTCTGAGTGTGTAGTTTATACTGGCTCCTCAGGGGTTACCACTCACGATTCCCAGTTTTCTTCCAATCTCTGATTTGAGCAGATAACACATTTGAAGTGAAATTAACCAAGAACTCTGGAGGCCTTGGATTTAGTGTTCTGCAGATGGAAGGAGATTCTTGTGAACACCTTGGAGGAGCTATTGTCAGGATCAAAAGACTGTTTCCAGGGCAGCCAGCTGAAGAGAATGGAGAAATTGAAGTTGGAGATGTCATTTTAAATGTGAATGGGAAACCTCTCAAAGGGCTCCTGTATCAGGTAGCAGGAAGTATTGTTACTGGGGCTCCATCTGGGTAACAGGTTAATAAAGACAATGCATTGAAACTTAATTATTACCAGAGGGAGGCAGAATCTGCATACAGTTAATCTGATTTCTATGTAGGATTCTTCTGTAGAACTCCTATGTAGAATTTCCTTTCTAAATGAATTCTGACAGCGAATTTCTTCTGCTATTTAATTTATAAGTTTCTACCACTAATGTACTAATTCTATTGTTAGATGCACACCAGTTGTTAATTAGTTGGAATCTTTGTTGCTGTTATGCATGATTAGAACAATTTTCCCCCTGTGGTCATTTGTGCTTTGTAATGTCATGCTAAATATAATGCCCCAGATTCAAATTTCTATCAGGAGTGGTAGATTTTTAGTGTAAATTTTTAGCCTGGAATAAGAAATTCTATATTCAATGAAGAAATTAAATGGTAATTCCCCACATGTGGATTTATATTTTTCATTGGAATATGGCAGTTTGGGAAGCTATGCTGAAATAATTAAACAAAGATGTGTTACTGCCACATGTGGTTTGAATGAATTTGCCTGAAAATTCTGGGTTTTTTCTTCTAGAAAAAAAATTAATTAACGTAAACCTATGTATCTGATGGTGAAACAGAAGTTTGTAAACAGAACTGACTTTACTTTAGATATAAGTTCACATATAAACTATGGCCCATTTGTATGACAATCCTTCAGTGGTGAATATTGGCCCTCAGACACTGCTGAGAGGCACAAATACCAGAAATGTAGCATTCACAATAAAAGTTTACTCCATCTCACTTGGTAAAATGACATGTATAATATACTGTATTCCATCAGAAATATAACATTCCTTCTTTCTGTTTAGGATGTCCTGCATTTGCTTAGAGGAGCTCCTCGAGAAGTTACACTACTACTTTGCAGACCACCAAAAGGTGTTCTTCCAGAAATAGAGCAGATTGCTTTGGTAAGGCAAAGCTTCTGACAAAAACTTACTTCTGTAAGCCTGGAAAGACACTACTACGTTTCTATCCAGTCTTGAACAAGGCAACTTTCCCTCTTCTCCAAGGCCCTCTCCTCTCTCCATTTCTTTCCCTTCCTGATTTCAACTCAACCTGCAGAGTTCAACTGATATTTTCTTAGCAACCAAAATAATACAAATCTGGCAGACCTGAAACATATTTATCTCAGTCCAAAAACTTTTGAGTTGCTGTACTATCATTGGAGTGAAACAGCACATACCCAAGCAGGTCTTCTAGTGGTCCTTCTAAAAATGCTCTACCAGACCCTCAGCTAGAAACTGCAGATATTTTCAAATGCAGCTATATTAACTCCCCAAAGTCAGAAGAAAATAAAGAATTTTTCCTATCCAGACTATCTCTTAATTAAGTTAAATAAATTAAATAATGGTTTCAACTGGTTATTCAGGTTCTTATTGATACTTAGCAGAATCTGCAGAGGGAAAAAAAAATGCAAACAAACAAAAGATACTCCCAAGCCGTAGACACTGCAGAGACTAAAACATTGCCATTAGATGTGCTAGCATTATTGCTGCTGCTTCTTGAACACAACTCGTGTACACATAACAAGTACTCTTAGAAGGAATATGCATTTGCACTACTCTTGCTCCATTCAGTACAGCCCTCTCATGGTTCCCCTCCCACGAGGATTTATAGCCACCCACAGGGAGACAGAAATGACAGTCAGAACCATCTCCAGATAACAAACTGATTCCTGCTGCTCTGCTGCAGTGTGCCCTTGGCTGATTTCTATGGTCAGACTTGACAGGAGTAAAGTCTGGGAGCTACTTCTGTGGATTGAAGAGAACATAGACACAACATTGAGGCATGATATGAACAGAAAAATTAAAAAAGGACCTCTAGCAAATAATTCATTGGGAAAAGTGATCTGGTGTAGTGGTTTTGATTGTAGCTCTTGTAGACATGAAAAATAAGCATTAAGACAAAAGAGTTATTTGGTGAGAGAGTACCTCCTATTTTTTCTCCTTCCTTCCAGCTACCATTTTGTATTTTCCCATTCAGAAATTTGTTAATATTGCCTTTTCAAAATATTTTGCTCTTGAAAGAAAAAAGATGGGAGATTAAAAAGGAGTTACACTAACCTTTCTGTTTTTTGATAGACTCCAGCACCATCTCCAATTAAGGACTTCGTGGCAGAAATGCCAGGCAACAGAGAGGCAGGAAACAGTATGGATCAATCCACCAGTGACGAAGGTAGCACCTCTCCAGACCTCGAAGATTGCCTCGATTCTCCAGTGGGAGAAGATTTCAGTGAGCCTCCTGAGGATGACAGCTCAGCTTACGATGAGCAGGAAGCTGAGTTTCAAGAGAAACCCATACAGAAACTCCCAGCTTCCAGAGAGAGTTTCTATAAGCATCTTTGGAAGATTCATCAAGAAGCTTCCAGTTCTGAAGTCTTCCACTCTCTGGAGGAGGAAGTGAAGCAGAACTGCTACTCACCATGTGAATTTGGACAGGTCAAAAGGTAGGGAATACCAAAATCTCTTCTGAAGCCTTTCCTTTGACTCTTAGAACTTTGAAAGTTAATTACTTAGGTTTAAGTACAGGGCTCTCTGCTAATCACTCCTGATCACTGAAGATTTTGTTTTATCATCTTATTCTGACTCACTTAATCTGCTTTTCCTATTCACTCTCATCTTAGAATTTTGCATAAGTCTGCATTACAAGATACTTGTAAGACTTCCGCACCACTGTAATCATTTATGCTGTTCAGCTGAAGGTGGTTGCCATTTGAAATGAGTGAAAAGACTCTTGTTCACCTAAACAGGAAACAAATAATTTTTTATTGATTATATGATTTTATTTTCATTGTTTTTCACAGTTGACCTAAATAGGCACCAATTTTTTTCCTTATTGTGTGATCTCTTAATTTCAAATTTTTTCATAGGAAATAAAAACACCTCAGAAGACAAACTGTGATCAAGGAGAAAAAAAAAAAAATAATTCTGTTTTCTGGTCTTAAGAAGCTAATAGAACCCCTGAGCCAGAGGAATTATACAATAAAATATAGTGCAAATGGACTCAGTCTCCTTTTACACTCCTTTGGATATATCAGACAGTCGCACAGAAGACAATCCATTCCATTTTCTTTCCCAGTGCAAAAAGGTGTAAATTATCAGAACACAACAGATTGATGCAAAGACAAATTGAAAGTATTCTAGAGGCCTTTAATTTACAGCTATAGTAATTTTATTGAGAAACTAATTTTTATTTCTCCAAACAGTCACTTGGAATAATTTTGCTACTTTTGGCACTCATGAGGCACAGCCCCAAACAGTCCAGTCTCTGGTGAGTGACAGCACCACCTGACACTGCAAATCAAGTGGGATCATAATGACATTTCATCCTTTTAGCTTCTCTTTGTTGAGTGCAGAAGCTTCACTTGATTCATGAATGATGCTCCACTTAATTATCTGCTTCTCTGCTTCTGAGAACAAAACCAGCAGAAATATGTCTGCAGTAAACATATTTGCCAAGAGATAATACAGATTCAACAAAACTAAGTTTATTGTGGGAAAATATAAATTTCAAGAAAAGTTTTGGATTCTTTCCAAGAAGGAAGTTCTGAAATATTTCTGTTTGATACATTTTCAGTATCATTTAGCATTAGTAAGTGCTTTTGCATTTTTAAAAGGTAGCCAGAGAAATTTAGGATGCCATGCATTTTAAACAATATTTTAAACATAGTCTCAATGTAAATCCTTCCAGCTAAAACCACACAAAATCCCCAGAAGGAAATAGGCATTAATAAAAGACTTCCCTTTGATTAATGAAGAAATTTCTCCAGATTGCTCAAAACATTTCATGCAAATGTATAAATTTTCTGGTATGAATTTTACAGAGATCTTCTGTGATCCCATACAGGATGGGCAATTTGTTTTCATTTTAGTTGTCTATGTTTGCTTGGGAGATGATGGACAGTTCACTTCTATCAAGGAGCGAAAGATCCTGGCTGACTGAGATATGAATATGCCATTTTAGGTGGTTTTAGGATGCATGAGGTTAGCAATATTTTAATAAGGATTGATATGAAGAAAACATACTTTTTAAAAAAATGTGTTTCCAGCATTTTTATGAGCTTTAATGGTAAATTTTTGGGAGACAATGCCACAGTTGTCTACTAGGGTTCATGAAGGCTAACAGTCAAAACTATTAAACACAGCATGTATGATTACTCTTTGGGCATGAACATCAAAAGTGCTGAATACTTTGTCTGCAATATAGTGGAATACAAACTATAATAATTTCAATTCAATTTAATGAGTCCATTGACATTTTTTGGAGAACTCACATGCTTCAAGGCAAGCGTAAGAATAAAGGCAAGCTTACAAGGAGGAGTAAGGACATCTACTTTTCATGAAGAAACAGGAACCGCTTCATATTTCGTGGTTTTGATTTGTACCCAGTTACCAAGGAAAGACCTGTAGAAACCAGAAATGTGGCTGGCATTCTTTTTTCAGAAAAATGCTAATATAAAAATTGTAGTGGTATTTTAATGTCCATACTGCTTACCAGAAAAGTTAATTAATTTCTTTATGGAAGATGAAATTATTAATGGTGTGGGCTTTGTCCAATTACTCTTTTTGAGAAGTAACCAAAGTACTAATTAATCCCTTTAAAAAATTAAAAGAGTGCAAGATTTTTCAAAGGTAAATAATGAAAGCTTTTCAATCTTTCAAGTAGCTTAGCAAAATGTTGATTACTTATTTGTTTTTATACTACCATTGGACGATTCAGACAGCAATTCAATACTGTAACTAGTAATTCAGTTCAAATGAAAGTAAGGTAATACATAAGCAGTAGACTTTTCAGTGGCCATCTAATAAAGCATATGGAGGAAAACCCCAGCACTGCAATCTTTTTATTTTCCAGCCGCGTATTTAATAAGAGTCATGATGACCAATCGAACACAAAATGTATGCCTGAAACTCTCTCTCTAACCCCTATTGATGAAGAGTATCTCACTGTCAGCTCAATGCCTGTGACCCTACTTCCACGAGGAGGAAGCTCTGAGACAGTCTCTGCAACCACTGCGACCCCACAGCCATCATCATCATCCCTGCCTGACAGAGAGACACATGACAGTGACAATGAATGGGAAGACTTGGAGGAACCAGAGGAAGAGAAGGAAGAAAATGAAGATTGCACTCAGGTATGTGATGGGCACCAAATTTCCAACAAGTAGAATACAAGGGAAAAGAGACAATTTTAAGAATGTTAAAGTCTTAAACCTTAATTTTAACTGATTTTCTATGCTATTTACACATTTTCCACATGGCTTTTTTTTTTTTTTTTTTTTTTTTTTTTTTTTTTTTTTTTACTTTCCTGGTACCCACAATCTTTAAATAAGCGAGACCTTCCACTATGCCTGGCTCTCCAGAATTCTTAACCATTTGCCTTAAGGCTATTTCTTTTTTCTTGACATCTTACTATTTCTCCAGCTTTCCAAAATTCTACATTATTATTCTCAGTGTACAAAGGCCTAAAAGCTCTCTAGTAGCTTCTAAAATTAATTGAAGTCAGCTACTTGATTTTTTTCTGCCATGTTTCAAGGCCATGCAGAAAATCACTTTGTTACAGTGATATTGCTGTAATGTCCTGATAAGAAAGTATGATCCTTGTGCTAATTACTATTCAAAATATAAGGTTCAGTCCTGCCAAATGCTGAACATCTTGCATTCCGACAACACTAATGAGCTCTGAGTCCCTACTAATTGGAGAACACTGCAGACAAAATTTAGCTCCAGGCATTTCCTTCAGTGGGACAGCATAGCAGTTACAACAGTAATCTCTGCACCCTGCTATCGCAATGCTTGTCAGCCCAGAGGACTCCAGGCCTTTCTTTAGACATTCCAAATGCCTAATCCCAGGTCCTGGTGGCATTCTCTGCTTCTTAGGCCCTATAAATCAACCAACATGAACCTCCACAATTCTGGGATATGGCAGAACACCTTTTGCACACTCTTGTACCATCTGAGGATCTGATTCCTATCTACATATAAAAATATGGAAGATGTTACTGAAGCAACTGTGCTTGTTTTAATAGGAAATGGAGATCTTTGTGACTTTGACAAAGTCAGAGAACAACGGTTATGGATTCTCTGTAGTTCTTAACAAAATGGACACCTGCCTGTACGTTGATGAAATCTTGAATGATCCTGCCCTTTCTGATGGAAGATTGAGAAGGGGAGACAGAATCATTATGGTACAGTATTTTTTTGAGTTCATGCAGAGAAGAAAATATTTGCAGATCAATTTCATTTAGCTTAGGCATTCTTCATTTGGTATCACCCATTTATCACGTATTTAGGTATGTAAATAAGTAATCTAATACATCTAATTCTGCTGACCTTAGTTTGATAAATTTCAGACTGAATAGATTGTATGGCCAGGCAAATAACATGAATCTAAGAGCAATTCAAGACAAGTGAGACATTAAATGCCTTCCCAATTAAATGACATAAACTGAATTAATGTAATAAGGTGATAGGTGACACACAAAGGATGCAGGAATTATGCCCTTTGTAATGTAAGAATAAAACCATTTTTTCAGCCTGGTTCATGTTCAAGTTTTTGCATAAGATCCTCTTGTTTTTTTGCAACAAGATCTTGAGATTCAATGTGAATAAAAGCTACTTTTATTAAAGCTCTGCATTCAGAAACATGAAAGTTAAAAAAAAATATTACTGCAATCTTAACTGTTTAATTTACTGACATTAAATACCACAGCAAAGCAACAACAAGGAGGTAAAAACTAATTTAAGTTCGCATGCAAAGTTCAGAGTAGAGAGAGAAGTAAATGATGGTCAATGAGATCTATGACATGATTTTACTGGTTTATCATTTAGGTGAATGGAACTGATGTCACATCTTTACCATGCAATGAAGTCCTGACTTTACTGCAAAGTTCTCCTCCAGATCTGCACCTTGTGGTTGGTCGTGCTGACAGTGACCCACGTCCCCCAGTTAGGCCAGATGAGATTCCTGAAATTACTCTCACAAAGGGTGCCGATGGACAGCTAGGTGTGTAGTAAATGCTGTATTTTCTATTTTGGACTGAATGATACCATAAGATAATCATAAGCAAGTATGGTCTTGAATCAGTATTATCCAAACTGATTCTTGGACTGACTTTAACCACCTTTATGCTCTTCATGATCACCCATGACCAAGGAATGAGAGCTTTATTTCAGGCAACACCTATGAGGGAAGACAAATATCTCTTATTAGACGAATGAAGATAGGTGGAAAAATGATCTTTGCATTACTACCCTGTTAACTGAAGTTTCTGGCAGATTTCTAGTCTCATAGTTTTATGTTACTGATAAATATAAGTTTTGGATAGCTGGAAAATAATGTCTACTACCTGTAGAGACACATAAAGATCAATTTGGAGGGAAAGAAAAGAATTGAAGAAAAGGTAAAGTTTAAGAAGGATGAGCCACAGGTTGAGACTACAGTTTGTTATTCAAAAAGCCTCCACTTGAATCTTTGATTCACCACAGACACAAGGCTTTGTCTACATTGAGCAATACAAATGATACAAGTCCCCACAATGTGAATATCTTGATATTTCTGTAGCATGTTATGAGCACTGCACACAGATAAAACTGTAGACTCAGGATGGCTATATTTGTTCTTGTACAACATCCTGTTTCCAGGTAGGAACTAGCTTGTTCAGAGATTCCTTGAATGTTGTTTGCACTGTGTAGGCACCTCCTCAGCTGTCGTAGGCCTCCACTGCCAAGGGCACCCTGATGACTGCAAGGCATTTAAATGTGCTGCTAATGAGGGAGCTGCTGCTGTGCAGTGTCCTATTGCAATGAGCATCAGGTGAAATAAAGCACTACAGCAGCACTGAAACACAGAGATGGACACCACCATTTAAATTTTTCCATACTTTTTTAACATCTAATGGCATTTCACTTTTTCAGTCCAGCTTATACACCCCATCTTAGTGGAGCAAGACTGTTACTTATAATGTCAGTGATTTCTTCAGCCTATCTTTCAATGACTCACATTTATTCCACTTTAAGTCATTGACAGTGAAATTCAAAACACTCTGCCACAAAAGATGCTTTCTCTACATTATTCTAGGCTTGAAGCTGACAGGAGGAGCTGGAAGCAAGTTACAAGGTATTTATGTGCTAGAGATAGTGCCTGGCTCTCCTGCCAGTGTGGAAGGCAGTTTGCAGCCACGAGATCAGATTGTTTACATCTGTGGACTGTGCACTGAGGGCATTAGCCTGGATGATGCAGTGAGAGTGTGTGAAGCTGCCACCCAGAATGTTCAAATCAAAGCCACCAGGTAAATCTGAGCATACTTGATCCTAATGCTGAAGCAAGTTTCTAAATTTTATATCAAGTCAGACAACACAAAACAGAAAATACTTTCTCTCAAAGCTCTGAATGTTTCTATTTGATAAATAACATTCATAAGATAGCTTAACTACTTGTAATTACAACTACTGCAGTGAGTAAAAGTAGACTCATACAACACAAATGAGAAGTCATCAAATTTCATCATCCAAAACTAAATGTGGAGCCTTTAACTGTGAGGCTCAGCACCATTTTAATATGCCTTGTTCTCTAGGGAAAATCTTTATATTTCCATTACTAAGTGTCAACTTTCCCTTTACCATCTGAAATTCACAACTACAAGCAAGAAACTACTTATCACCAGAAATTCTGAGATAATTCCAACAGCCAAACATTTTAGAAAGGTACTAAAAATGCAGCATTTAACCTGCAGCATTACCAGAAAGTCTTTCCAGGCCTGAACAATAATTGGCTGTAAAGGATTTTACTCATCAGTTCATGGATGCACTTTATATTCATTGTGTTCCACAGTCTGATACCACACCAGCTCAGGTCCTGGACTGATGCAGAAATAGCTTCCAAAGATCTCAGAGGAATGGTAAAATATTAACCCAAAGCAGCTGAGTAACTGAGTTACATAACCAGAGCACGTGACAGAATGGCAAACCAACTGTCTTAACACGGTTCAAATTTTCATCACTGTTTTATTAATTTGTGCTTATCTCACAGAAGAAGGAACTGCCACCTCATTAAACATCTGGCTGTACAACAAGTTAGGCAGAACCTCCTGATAGTCAGAATTTACAAACTAAGGAGGTAAACAGAAATAGGGTAAAGGAAATTATAAAAGAGCATTCCCACTTTATACAGGGGGTAACCAAAGCTGAATACAAAATGGACCAGAAAGCAGTTCTGTCTTGGGCCAGGTGATTTAACATGCTTATTTTTTCCCCCAACACTTTAAATAAAATGTTTCACTACAGTAAAATATTTTCATATATTGATATCATTTCTCTTTAGAGCACCACTAACAAAATCATGAAAGGACAACTACTATTTAGACAACTGAATTTCTAAAAATAATTTTCATATGTGCTTTACAAAGCATGCAGCGCTTAATGGCTCACATATTTCACTTTTTCTGCCCCCAGAAATGGCAATCCAGTGGTTCCTATAGAACAGGAAAATAGTAAGTAAGGCTAATGTTTTTGGGTTTTAAAAATTCAAAACATGCTTCTGATTTTGAAAATAATCATAAGGTATTGATTCATTGCATTTAAGTTATTAACAAATTGTAACTTGGCATTCAGTATTTCTGTTATGGCCATTTTAAGGGTCTGAAAAAAATTTGGTAGCTGTTTAAAGACAAAAATAAAATGTATAGTTCTCTGTAAAGAAAGTAATTTGTTACATATTCAGTTTCTATTTTTTTAATTTGTTATTGAATAGGAATTTTATATGGTCATGTTTCAACATCTGTTTTGACTGAAACTACTCTCTAAGTAGTTTTCCAGCACTTCTTGAGCCACTACTTAATATGAGCCACTACTTCATCATCTAGACCACCTTTTAAAACTGTTATTAATAAACTATATAAAATCAGCAGGCAGCACTAATATCTGTAAGTTAATATAAAACCATTCCTATCAGGGGAGATACTGGATACTCTAACTGATACAAAACTTCAGTAATCATCTGTTCTACAAAGACTTGACCAGAATTGCTCTAGCAGCGAAAGGAGTCTCAGCAAGCACAGGCTGCACCTGCATCCTCAGGTGGAAGGAGAGGTATCACATCTAGGTCAGCACATACAAAGGGTGTTAATTATACCAGTAGTACTGTCCAATGCACACTTGGCTGCAGCACTAAATCAGGCCTAACCCCAGTTTCATTTACCTGACTGGATACCTCAATGTCTGTTTTGTTTTTAAATCATGCAAAGATAACCTTAAAAAGTAACCCTGGACCACAACTGTTCACATGCCTACACTCATCTGGATACTGGCAAATGGTTACCTGAAAAGCTCATTCTAAATCAAGTTAGTTACGATTTCCTACTTTAACACACATAACCATGCGTTTGTTTCTATAAACTGAAGCAATTTTCTACAAGATATGCAGAAAGTTATGTGTGCTCTCAGTTAACACAAAAGAACTAAAGCACAACAAATGTATATCCTGGTAGAACCTTGCTTACACAGCCTTGTGTGCGCTTTGCAGATTCCAAGATGTCTCAAGATACCTTCAGATAGGTAACTGTACCTGATCCACCTCTGATAGAGTTATGAACTATATACTGGCACAGTTACGTGCCTCTCCTATAAAACAAGATGTGTAAGGTCCTGCACATGGGTAAGAGCAATCCCAAACATAAACACAGGCTGGGCAGAGAATGGATTGATAACAGCTGTGAGAAGGACTTGAGGGTGTTGGTTGATGAGAAGCTGAACATGACTGAGCAATGTGCAATCACCACCCAGCAAGCCTGTCCTGGGCTGTACCAAAAGCAGTGTGGCCATCAGGTTGAGGGAGGGAGATTCTGCCCCACTACTCTGTGAGACCTGACCTGGAGTGCTGCATGCAGCTCTGCGGCCCCCAGCAGAAGGAGCACTTTGACCTGTTGGAGCAATTTAAAGAGGAGGCCATAAAGATGGTCAGAGGGCTGGAGCATCTCTCCTATTAAAACAGGTTGGGAGAGCTGGAGTTGCTCAGCCTGGACAAGAGAAGACTCTGGGGAGACCTTACAGCACCTTCCAGTTCCTAAAGGGGCTACAAGAGAGCTGGAGAGGGACTTTAGACAAAGGTGTGTAGCTGTAGGACATGGGGGAATGGCATCAAACTTAAAGAGGGAAGGTTTAGATTAGATAGTAGGGAGAAATTCTTTACTGTGAGGGTGATGCAACACTGGAACAGGTTGCCCAGAAGTTGTGGACACCTCATCCTTTAAAATATTCAGGTCCAGGCTAGATGGGGCTTTAAGCAACCTGGTCTAATGAAAGGTGTCCCTGCCCATGGCAGAGGGTGGGAACCAGATAATCTTAAAGGTCCTTTCCAACCCAAACCATCTATGATTTTATGATTCTTCCCTTTTACAGGCACTTGGAAAAACCTATAGTAATTTTTTATTTGGTGTTCCATTTGCTATCATCACTGATAGATTTAAAGATAAATCTGTAATAATTCATTATTAAGAAAGCAAGTAATGATTTTTATAGGCTTAGTTAGAACACATACTAAAACTGCAATTGCAACAGGCAGCTTTTTTTTGAACTACAGGATATTCACTATTTTCCATAATTCACACATTAAGAGTATTTTGTGGAAGACAGCTAAGATCACCAAAATGGTAAAGAAAAACCACTAAACTGGGGGGGGGGGGGGGGGGGAGGGGCTGAGTAGAGGTGAGAGCGTTCCTTCATCTGCCTGATCACTGCCACATGTCTAGATTGTCTGGTGTCTGGTGTTACAACATTTAAAATAGCAATGGCTAAGATGCAGTATCTCTGCAATTCATGATTGAAATGTTTATATCTCTGTGCAAACTGGCAAACTTAATCATGCAGTGGTCTTACACTGCTTAATATAGTATCAATATTGGATATTGATGCTTTGTTTATAACCTAAGCACGGAGTTTACATTCCATGTGTACATGAAGTTTAGCAGGAGGCCTGCCAGAACAAACATACGTGTATGTTTTTAGGGCCACCAACTGAAACAGAGAAAGCCAGTATTTCCTTGTCAGATGAAAACCTGAACTCTCAGGAACAGCATCTGCTTCATCAACATGGTAAGGAACTTTTCATTTTTCAGTTAGGGTTAGTAAAATTGTGTGCCTTCTCTTTGAAAGAATATAAGTCTATAGGTGATAATGGCATTGCCTGGGAAAGATTAACTCTATATAAAAAAATCTGTCTCCCTCAGAGTTTCAGAGAACATTTATACATTACTGTTGTCCATCTGGTGTCTCTGTAGCATGCAGTTCTTAAAGCTTGTTTTAGAACCTGCTCACAGGGAGGTGAAAACTCACAGTGTGGTTCACATTTCAGGAGTTTTAGGCCACATAAATGCATAGGATTTATTGTGTATTTCACCTATAAAATACAAAATGTTTTATTATCTCTCTGAATAAGGTTTTGAGTGTTATACTGCAGAATATTTTACCAGGACAACAACCTAAAACTTGTTGTTGCTTTTTGACAGAGAAACATTTGGAGGACACAAACTGTGATGCTCAGCAGAACGCTCCCGATTCTCCAGAATGTAAAGTAAGTGACGATCTGAGGTGTGAGGTGGTTTACCAAGTGAAGTAAGATATATGGAGTGAGGCTTTCTCAGTAGTGGTATTTAACGTATTTTCTTCCTCTCTTTGAAATAAAGAATGTGAATATAATGCACTTGGAGAGTGTCCTGTAAGTGTTGAATTGTATTCAGCACACACAGAGTAGAATGCACTGGGCACTTCCTGGGGACAGACTCTTCTGTTGCTGTTTTTCAATGCTTAGAAAGAAAGTAGCACAGGAAAAAGACACAGAATGTCACAGCATGGGATTCTGGGGAAAATATGTGCAATTGTGAAACATTTTCCACAACAATCTTTGAAAACTGAGATTAATTGGTTTCATTCTGCAATTTGCAAATGGACATTTAAAAATAGAGTAAAATTACCCCAAATCTTTTCAGTTTTATGTAGCATTGATATAGACCAATATGGTTTAAATTGGGCAAGAGTAATGCATTTTTAAAGTTATTTATTATGAATTCCTGAATACACACAAGTGTTTTTGTTGGGGAAAAAAAAAAATTATTTCCATGCTCAGCATACAATACTTGAAAATTCTTACAAGTGAAAACATCACTTCTGTGGGTGCAAACACATGGAAAGTAATGTTAATTGAAATTATTCAAATTGGGACTGATATTTCATGTGAATAGATTAACTAGTTTTCTCTTGATTGTGGTTTGCAAAAAAACAAATGCTGTCTCTTGTTAAAATTAGACCTCCAACCTGGCAAAAAAATTGGAACAATTTTCTTGCTTTTGATTATGTCTTCACTATTACTTCTTCTAATCTTCTGCATGATTTAATCCATGATGGTTTATATCTTCAACTCACAAAAATAATTTCCAAGGCTGATATTTGTTGCATTGGAGCTAGTCATGCTGCAAGTCATAAACATTTCTAGCTTGCTGCTATTTCTGACATAGTACTTGACCCTAAAAAAGCAGCTGATTTTAAAAGCAAATGAAGTGCTAAAATGAAAGAGATGGGAGTGTTGGAATTATAAGATTATGATCTAAATTATAGAAAAACAAGAGAATAAACTATGTACTGCATCACTGTCATGCTGGAGATAAGAATGCCTTATTTGTCAATTAAGGTGATTTATCTGATATATTATAAAAGGATTACAGAAGTACATGTTTCTTTGCTCTTAAGGGGTTATTTTCCCCAGCAGTAATTATAAAAAAGAGTATGAAAATAAGTATGTACTATTTTCATTCTGATACATACATGCAGCTGTTATCTTGATCCGTGGAAGCTCTATAGATCTATTCAAGAGTAGGATATATCCCATAATCCACATAAGACAGTGAGGACTGTGGGAATAATGGGAATCTTCAGTAATAAAAATGCAAACAAAATACAGCCCTGAATAAACTCCACTTTAGAATGCATCTTTGTCTATTGCAGGACTTCATTATTAAGATTGAGTTAGAAAAGGCAGAAAATGGAAACCTAGGATTTGCACTGGTAGGTGGAAAAAATGGCAGGGCTATCCTAATAAAAGCCATCAGCCCGGAGAGCAGTGCAGATCTAGATGGAAGACTTCAAGTTGGTGACATCTTACTTAAGGTAATGTTTGTTCTTCATTGCTTTGGCTCACATTTTCTCTACTTACTCTAAAATGAGCATCTGTTCAATATAAAGGTGGTGCAGATTGGAAACCTGATGCTGCTTTGCACAGTAACACATAGGAGATGGTGTCTCTCAGCTCCTGGTGGTTAGAGGCTTGTCCTGGGGGCCCTGTGTCTTCCCTGGAGTTCAGGCTCCTGTGGGACAGGGCCTCTCCAGAGCTGGTAGTTGGACACTCCAGCAGAGGCAGAATAACAGAGCAAGCAGCCAACTGCACTTACTCAGGACTGTACTTGTGCCTAGTGAGGATTCCAGAGAAAGTTCAGGGAAGCCAGAGTTAACTGGCCAAGCATGCAGGTCACAGCTAACCAGGAGGCTACTGGGAAGAACCTGTCATGGTGCCAGTTAGGTATTATCAAGACAAACAAAAAGCACTGGAATTAGGGCTTTTGAGACTTTATTTAAAATCTTACTATCCTACTACCTTTTAATATAAATCATCCTTTTTGTTACCCCAAATTATTTTTTCTTCTCCCTCCATGAGTTTCAAAATTGTTTGATTTTCCAGTTTTCATTTACTTCCATCTCTCCTTCATCTTCTTAATGAAGAATAGGGGAAAGCCCACTTACTATCTCAGACTATAATTTTGTGGTGTCCTGGCAATCATAATATAAAGACATAGAGATGAAGGATCAAAGCAAGTTAGGAGAGAATTCTCTCCCACAAATGGGAGAAAATGATGACACATGAAGTTCAAAGAAGTTCTATAAAGATTTCCCAGCGCTAGGATATGTGATTTTAAAAAAGGTATTGGGTTACAGGAATCTGGAAATACACATCATTGTATTTTTCAGGTGAATGAGACTTTTGTGTCTGGTCTGCCACGCCAAACAGTTACAGATTTGCTGCGCAAGGCTCAAGGCACTGTTCAACTCACTGTCTGCCGAAGCGTGGCTTTGCACTGGGCTTATTCAGGCAACCACAGCAACAGAGCTTCCACTCCAAACACAAAAGCAGAGCCTGGTAAGCAGCTACATCCACTCACCATATGACAGAAGTGGGTTATGTGTTGCCTGAATTCAACTTTGACATTAGCAAAAAAAGTCACTTTTACAGTTAGTCTTGTTTCATAGCTGTAGGTACAAACACATTCTTCACCCTGATTTGCAGCTCTGGCTAAACTGCTCATGACATAGGACCACAGGGAAGGAATGCCCAAGTGTGATTTTTAAATCTAGGAACAAAGCTGTAAGACCCTTATCGATGCTTTAACTCAGTTTAAGTTTTTAAGTCATGAAAGTTGGTCTGATTTTACCCCATTTTATGCAACTCACTGATGGAATCACAGCCCATTTTTGGTTCAGTTGCTAAAATACTTCTCCCACAAACTTCACATCCCATCACTCCTACTTATCTCCTGGAAACACTACACCTTCTGTTCTGTCTGGCAGACAGATACTCTCTCTTCTGTGCTTATTCATGCTCAAATCGAGAAACCTCTGCTCCTAGGTCTATTGTTATTCATTTGAGAGCACACCCATCTTGCACAGGGCAGTACTTAGAGGCATGACTAACACTATGGAAGAACTTTGTGCTCTATGTTTTTTTTTTACTGAATACTCAAAAATTAAACACTAATTAAAGCTGGGAGTGGAAGCAAGGATATAAAATTACCAATAGATTACATAGTTATAGTCTTCAACTTCCTATTTCTTTGATTATTGAAACATTTCCTATAATGTGGAGAAACTTAAGTTGGAAGGATATAGAATTCCTCCTTCTGGCCTGCTGATTACAAGTTGGAGGCTTTGTTTCAAGCATTCTTAGTCAAGAAGACACTGCCATTGCCATTTTCTTCTTATATGACATTGGTGAATTACATAGTTTCTGGAAAGTTTCAACTGTTTTCCTGCAAGACACAATGGTATTAGAGAAGTACTGGCAGCAAAGTTAATCTGTGGTATTTTTCTCTTAGCAGTGTGAAGGAATGAGCTGTGTTAGGGACGACAGGTTTAAATTGTTTCAGGTTTTTTTTAATAGCTGCTGTTTATACAGGACTTTACTTCAGTGTATCTTCTGGCAGTCTGAATTTTGCTGGCTTCTACAGTGGTGACATATGGCATTTGTGCACTGTTAACCCTCCCAGGCATTCACAAGAGAGAGATTCCATGCCAGTTTAAGACACTGTATCTCAGTGCCCCATCTGAGGTCAAAGTCCTTTGGTCTAAGCAGCAGGGTATAATTGGACCTATATTATCATGCATTTGATTTTGTTTTTGTTTTCTGGTATTCAGTGAGTGGTGGGGAAAGCCTGCAAGCTCAGCCTGTTTTCACTTTCAAGGAAGAAGGCTCCAACCAAATGTGCAACAAGGTAAAATCGGAGAAGTTTTCAGAAGTTATCAGGCAATGTACTCATCTGTTTTTTTACAACACGGGTTTGCTGCAATGTGGGAAAGAACCACACCTTCTTAATGAAAAAACATTTAATGTGAGGGAAGTGTGCTGCCATGACTGGAGCTGCTGACATTTGAGTGAGTCAGGATTCCACTGAGATAAGAGCACATGATAAGTATAATACATATGCTAAAATGGTGGAGGGAAGAAAGGTTGCATACATAACTTTTGTTCTGATTCTTTATAATACTGAAATGAATTTATTAATTTTACTATTCTTTCAGTATCTCTAAACCATATATATTAAAAGATTTATATTCAGCTATTTCCACTACTATTCATAATTCAAATACATCTAAATTTCTTCAAACACAGATATGATTTTGAATCTTAGTAAGTCCTGCAAAATATTCCACATTATATTTCAGAGCATCTATTATTTCTAAATTTAAAACTGTAAAACTCCTTAGTAAATGTGAGAAATTTAGATCTTCTTATCCTCCAGAAAACAAATAAAAAACTCAAACTCTGATTCAAGTAATATAATTTAACTAGAAAAAGAAAAATTGTAAGAATCCTTGACATAAATAAACTGAGAAAACCTTGAATAGGAATTGTCTGTGGAAGTTTCAGCATGCTGTTAGAATGGGTGTTGGAACTAAACTTTTAGAGACTGGTGAAATGTAATATCAAAATAAAGTAATATCTACGGTCTGACAAATAAGTACTCCCAACAAATAATATCAATGAGAAGTAAGAGACAGAAGTAAGGTTACATGTGACCAATCAGATCTCCCAGTTAGCAAGGCATAAAGGGAAACATTTAGTTTTAAGCAATGCAGTTTATTCTATCTAGCACACACCTAAATTTAAGCATGTTCTTAGTGTTTTCCCTGAATTGGTTCCATTAACCTCCCTCTTCTTCATTATTTCCAGCTTGCCTTTATTTGTCTCCTATGAATAGAAACTATTTCTGCTTTACTTTATAGAGCAGAGCTGTAGACTTTAAAAATGACAAGCTACTAAAAAAAAGGAAAAATGAAGCAGTAAAACAGATTTTCTTCACAAATCAAAACCAAAAATCATTACAGCAGTCTCTGATCTATGTAATCCATAGGTACAGAAACTGGGTAGATGAATTCATGCTTAAATCAGCAGCTACAAACATTCCTATTCTAATGGGGAAATACATGCACAAAAGTAAGAAAATAAAGTACAAGTGGGAGATACCATTAAGATTCCCTGGGGCATTCAGCATGTGAAGTGTGAAGTATGCCAGGGTGTTTCCTGGGTGCATCTGAAATACTGAGCAGTGAAAGAAGAAACACCAATTTGAACTAAAATTTAAATAGTTATTTGTCAAGTGTTACAGCTGAGAAGAAGCTACTTTCACACGCTAACAGCAGATATCCTGCAACATTATTTAAATGCAGGACCTAGTTATTACTCTTTAGGATGGAAAAGCAGCCACCAATACTATTGCTTCTATTGCATATGGAAGATCATCAAGGGTCTGCCTTCTCCATTAGCTGAGTGCTTCTTCAGCAGAGCAGCTGCACCCTGCTTCTACCATTGGCATTGTTGTGTCTAAGATAAAAAAAGGAAATTATTACAAACAGTTCAGTCTCAGATGCTTGGCAGCTTCCTGCTGCCAAGAATTGGGAGGGGAAGAGTGTGACTCACGATTCCTGTGATTCCATTTTCTTTCTGAGATCAGAAAGGATATAAAAAACTTTTCAAAGTTCAGTCATGCATGCTGAGATGTAGAGGTGTTTCTAGGCTGTATTGTTCAGAAACTTACAAGTGCAGCTGATAAGGCTTTTTACTCCAACTTGTTACTGCAAGACACACTTTCTTCTGAAAGTGGAAACTATTATATTTTCCCTTTCCTCCTTTGAGCAGAGGACACACTTCTGTCAGAAACAAGAAAGACTGTTGATGAAAGTCTCTATATTCTTGATGTTTCAGTGTACTGATTTTTCACAGATTTTTCTTATTTGAAACCTACAGGATGAACAAAGAACAGACAAATCTCTCCAAGGTCAGGTGGCTGGACAAGACTATAAGGATATCATTAGTAACATTTCAGAAAGGTAAGTATTTCAAATGAAGTAAAACCATAAAAATAAATAGTATGGATAAATTATATTTCCAGCTCTGTCCTAATATGGTATGAAAATGACAGAAATACGGGTCTATGGAATGCAGCTCCACCTGCAGGAAGAGCTGCTAAACAGCTTCCACACAACTACTAAGACAAGAGAATTGAAGCCTCCAGGTGTAAGGGCTAACAGTTGAAAAATGTCCTACATGAAAATGGTCTCTAGCTGTAAGAAACTTTACTTGCAGTCATTTTTGAGCAGCTTTTTATTCAGAGTATTTTCTTACCTCTGAGAAAAAAAACAACAACAATTGCATACTGACAATAGTATTTTTCAGTAGCTATATTTGCAAACAACACTCCAGACAAAATGCTACTACAACTCCTTGAACTTATGATCTTCAAAGTTCTGACCAATTCTTGAAAATAGTTGCTCAAGAAAGTGAAAAGTGAGCACAAATAGATTAAACACAAAATCTTTATATGAGTCAGCTTATCAAAGCTTCTGCCAGTTCAACTGATTTTGTTTTACAGGTCACAGAAATGTGCAGAATGTGAAAGCTGCAGAAGAGAAAATCAGCAGTCTGAGTCAGGAAGCTGGAACAATGAAGATGATGTTATTCCCCACAGGATTCCTGTTCTACCTAGAAGTAATCATACAAAACTTCTCTTGTTTCTTCAACAGCATAGCCCAGCACCTCCATATATGTACATTGAGAACAACACTAGTCCCTTGTATAGAAGCTAAAGATTTTCTCTTTCAGTCTAAAAGACCAGGGCACTCAAGACACTGTTTTTACCACAAATGCATATATAGGCCATCCAAACTTCTGTAACTCTAAAAGGAGACATACATCATGAGGTCTCTCCTCTCTCCCTTACTGTTCCTATACAACTGCGCAAAAAAAGTAAATTAAACACTTAAAAATGCGAAATGAAGGGTCAAATTCTCTCTCAAGACTTCGTTCCCCAAATCATTGAATTTCACCCCCATGGCAATTCCATTAAAAACTCTAGAACTGTGCTTAAGCATGTACTGAAGCACTTTCACAGCTCAGGTGCCAAAGCCCCTATGACACAAAGTGTTTACAGAAAGAATCTGCCTAATTATTCCTTTATGAAAATAAAGCTCCTTCTGCTCCAAATGAGAATAATTTGTGAAAGGAATCATACTGAGGATGCTGCAGTATCTCACAGACTCTGTGAAATACAGATTGCTCTCTCTCCTTTCTTCTTCTCACCTGGTAAAAGCGATGAGTTGCTGATGGCTCTTATTAGAGGTAAAACACAGGTAACTCCCTCATGCTACCAAGCCTTCCTGGCCAGCAAACAGAAAATTATAGCCAGTCTATAATCTACTACCTGCTCAGAGTTTGGGGATTTTTAATTCCCCTTGATCTGGAAGGAGAAGTGTATGGGAAATAGTGTGCCCTGTCTGGAGTGGGGATCTGTCTTCACTGGCACTCTCAACTACACAATAGGAGCCTCTTCAAGGGTTAGAGAATGGAATGCAGAAGAAAGCTCAGGCTTTAGAAGCTCAGGCAAGGCAGGGGCAAGTCATAGCCCAGATGAAAGTACAGCAAGCACAACTCTACTGTAACAGAAATTAGTTAAGAGTAGTGATGATACCTTACAAGAGGAAAGCGGAACATTGCTTGTCTTCATCCTGGAACATATCATCAGCTTTTCTTTGAGACAGCTGGTATGTTATCCTTTGCAAACAGTAGCCTATGACTAAAAACCCAAAAATCCGTAATTCCTCTGCCTCAAACCATTACTTTTTACATAACAAGCTACTGTTTTTACTCAACATGAGAACAAAAGTTTTTCTATCATTCCAGTACAGCAGTGATATTTCTGGAGATGCAATGTTTATCTATTTTCTTAGTCTGTCATGTACTGGATCAGAACATACATTTCAGGATGAGCTAAGTAGCAAAATTGAATCCTGACTTTGGTGCATCAAAGAGTTTCTATCTTGTTCTTGAAGGGCAGTGTGAGTTAAGACAACTAGAACAATATATTTGCTTACTTGAGGAAGGAAGAATTTACCATGATTATTTCTAGCAGTGTAGTGTGGCAATACTAATTGTCATGGAAGTGTTGGAAACATGAAGATGATTCTCTGGGAAGATGTGGCCAGAATATCCTATACCACTATAAATTAGCATTAAAGTTTACAATTCTGCAAGGACAGTTTATTTAGAACAGACTATATTTAGAAACTCTGTGAGGAAATAACTTGCAATAATTGGATCTGCTTCCAAACAACATGAAATGCAGTGCTGGTTGTATCCATGATGTTGACTTATTCTTCTTTCTGCTGTGAACATAAGTAAATTGAAAATATTTTCTTCCATTTTCTCATATTTCACTTTCATAATATCAGCAACAAAATATATATACATACTGCAGCTCCCTAGTTTTTAAAGCCAAGATTCTGCACTATGAACAATAATAATTAAAAACTTCTTGGTTTTTTGTTGTTGTGTTTTGGTATTTTGTTTGCTTTTTTGTTGTTGTTGTTGATACATAGACAGAACCTTTGCATCTGGAGATGAACTGACTCAGTTAATTAACTTGAAACCATCACAGAGTGGAATAGATCCAAGGACTGACATAACAGGTCTTATTCAAGGCCTTCAGCTGCGGATTGAAAATCAAGAGGTGCTAAAGGAGTTTATGGTAAACTGTGATTACTTTTTAAGTACTAACAGTTCAGCACAGCTAAGAAAGTGACTTTTAATAGCATTGTGCATACTCTATGGGAGTTCAGCTTATATATCTTTACTGAATCCTTTTTCTATGACAATTATTCCTGACAAAATGGGGTTTCTACTCTTCTGTTTGGGTGACAGTACAGTGTTTACGTCTCTCTCTTTCCACACATGTCAGCCTTAAACTATTCCCTGTTCGAAGGTACTGCCCATGTAGAATGACAGAAAAACAAATAATGGAACATTAATAATGTAGGTTAGGAATGACTTTCCTAGACTGACTTCTTCCTATTACCCCTCAGCTCTGCTGAACATCTGCCTAGGAACTATCCTAGGGACTGCACATAAGAAATAAATCCATGCTGCTAAGATTTCACTAGTGTAGAAACAGTTGGGAGGAAAATGTTCCACACAATGGAACACTCCAGTTATCCACAGAACTCATTGTTACAAGATGCTGTTATGATCAGAAACTTAGTGAAATTACAAAGAAAATGTAATGTACCTCCATAGATAATGAAAACACATAATTATATCTGATTGCATATAAATCAAGAAAAAATTGTAAAATTAGGAAGGCTTGTAAAATCTCTTGTTTCAGAACATAAACAGAGTATGCAGTTATCATCAAATTCCCAAAGAACAGATTATTCTGTAATTCTTCAACATAGTATACTGGATTTCCTTTAAAGGACTTGCTCATTATCAGTGAAATGGATTGCTTCCACTTCTCCATAGTAATTGCAATGTTATCCATTTATTTCACTTGCCTTTATATCTCCAACTTTCTGGGCACAAAATCCACAGGCTCAAGTGTATAGGATTTGCTGACATTCCCTGAAGGCTCAAGGGCATGTATTAATTTCCATTCATTACATTCCATTACTGATATAGGTAGAGCTTACTGTAAGCTGAGCCACACATCTGCACAGAAAACATAAAGATCTAATAAGTAAAGTGCTGGTTACCAAAGCCATTGGATATTTTATCTGAGTAAAAGAAGTAGTAACTGATGAAAGTGTTCAAGAACTGTCACATGTACTTCAGTTCATATGAATGTATAGTGGCAGAACATGATGGCTGAGCACTGTGCAATGCATAGCAAATAGGTAGAAGAATAAAAAAATGTCAAAGTAACACAAAAATATAAATGAAATGAACTTGCACATTTCTGCTTCTGACTACACTGCATTCAAATCCCCTAAATTTGCTGTGAAGTTCTTAATGACTCGCGCTTAATATCTTTGGTGGTGTTCCCTATATTCATCCCTTTCTCCATCACTGAAAAATATTCACTGTCATTATTGCACTGTTAATAGTGTAATAGTTAGTGCTTTAGTCATTGTGTTATCAACCATAAATGCTGGCATTTGCCCAAGAGAGTATTCCAAACATCTATAATATAGCATATATAACAAGCACTCATAATGATGGGGTCTGAGGATGAGGGTTGGAAATATCACTTGAAAATGCAGAAACATTGTGCAGGGTGAAGAAAATACAAAGCAAATTGAATTCCTTGCCTAGAAGTTCAGAAAATTATGTACTGATTCTCTTCTGTAAGAAGTCTATTTGCCAGTCTTGGGTTACATACAGCAGTAAAGTTTGTTCACACTGACACTGTAAAAGTTGTCTGTTGAGGATGTGAACAACATGGATTGACTATTTCTTTTTGATCTAGGCTTTAGAACATGTGAAACCAATAGATGACTGCAGAATTGGCAAAGCACCAGAAAACCAAAACAAAAACAGATACCGAGATATCCTTCCATGTAAGTATGCACAGAAATGAGAACATACATTTGGTGAACAAGTCATCAGAGAAACACAAGAAAATTTTCTGGACCCTTGATATCTTTCTAAACTGCAGCAACAGGACAACACATGCAAAAATTTGTAGCATCTCTATAGATCAGTGATGCAGGATATATATTTTTAGAGGTTTTCCTGGTTTGTAACACCAATATCCAGTGACAACATTCCTATGCAGTACATGAAAAGCAGGATTGGGTACACTATTTTGGAAAACTGGCAAACAATTTAACAGTAATTAGAAGGCCTTTCACAGTGTTACACAAGTACCTTAAGAAAAATAAAGCTGCAATGAACCATACAATTTATCTGTGGGAATTCCTACTTGCAATGATTAATATTAGTACCACTAGTCAAATGTATTCTAAAATCCAGAGGCATACTTTTCTGAAAAGACTGAGGTTTCCTATATCCTGAGTGCTGGAGGTGGTAGAACCTTGTTTCAGATCCACAGCTGAAATAGCATCTTTCTGTTTCTGTACAGATGATAAGACACGGGTTCCTCTGGGAGAAAAGAATGGCTACATTAATGCAAGCTACATTAGAATGAATGTTGGAGAAGAGGAACACTTTTATATTATAACCCAAGGGCCTCTGCCATCCACTATGGCTGATTTCTGGCAAATGGTCTGGGAGAGTGAATCAGATGTGATTGCCATGATGACAAAAGAAGTGGAGTTAGGGCAAGTCAAATGTCATCGATACTGGCCTGAATCTCCCTATGACTCTAAAGACCTGGCTAATTTCTATCTCAGGCTACACAATTACCAGATTATGGAATACTTCATAATTAGAAAAATAGAAATTATCAACAAGCAGGTAAGTTGACTTAATACTTTCATACATGATTAAATTGATTATGTAGTTTATGTGAGTGGATACAAGTAGTATTGTTTGATTCTTCCATAATATATGCTCAGTATTTTTTAGGGACAGGCATGAAATTAAGGTTAAGGAGGTGCTTCTTTTTTGCTCATTACATAAGCAATGGATCCAATATTACATACATTTAGACAAGAACTTGCAAAAACAAGACCTCTAATAGTCACAGAACTGATGTGTTCAGCGTTTTGCAGAATTGTTTACTGTTCTTATCAAATCACATCCATGCCAGAGTGGATTCAAATTCTGTAATGATGGTTGGATGGAAAGAGGGGAAGAAGGTGGCTTTCATCCTAGAATTTAGGACAAATGATACTTTTATTGTTCATGAAAAGACACAAACACACATGAAACTACAAATCTAGCAGCATTTTTTAGAAACTGAACAAATACAGAATCCAGGTGGAAGAACAGGGAAAACAGGGCAGGTATAAGCCCATCAATTTTGCCTTGATATTAAGTAAAGCTTTGCAAAGATATCTGTAGGACATATTATTTGGTGGAATAATTAAAAAAAACTTGTGGCAGACTAAACTTGGTGCCTTTTTCCATCAAGGTAACAATGTTCTTTTATTTGAGGAAATTCATCTTATGTCACTGAGTGTGAAGCATTGTAAAGCATTTGATACAAGTCTTTTCAAAAGACTATTAAAATGGCAAGATGGAACACCAAATGTGATTGCTCCAATGAACATGTAAGATTGCTAGGTTTGTACTGAATTAGTAGCAAACTACTAAAGAAAGCCACTGGTCCACTTCAAAAGAAATCCATGCTTACATCCAAATTCTTCTGATTGTAAAAATCCAGGTAGTTAACATTCAGATTTTAACATGACTTTGTGAACTGGCAACAAGAAGTGATGACCCAGGAACATTCAATTAATATTACTCTTTATTTTATCTACATTTTATTTATTCTTGTAAGCATTTTTAGTTGGTTTGCATATTGAGAATCTAATCACAAGTTATTCTTTTATATCTGATAGCCATCAGATATATTTACAAATATATCAGATAATATGAGAGTGGCTCTCATATTACTCCTCTTCTATTAGTAAAGCTTAACTTAGGTACAAAAACAGTTTTAGCAAAGAGTATTGCAATGGTTCTAATTTAAAAAATGTTTTTCTTTTTCCTTTCTAACCAACAGATGACATAACTACATTCTTTCAAGGCAGCAGAGTAACTGCAGTGTCTTGTCAAAGTCATAAGAAGTAAATTTTCTAGTCTTGTGTTTCTGAGTGCATTTCTTGAAACCTAAAGAAACTTTAATTTAGTCAAGTATGAAAAGCTAAAGAATTGTAAGCTACCAATTTTAAGAATGAGGCTGAAGGAAATTTTTAGTGGAATTCCTTGAAAATTGGTTTTGGAACTGATAATTGTTAACCTTTCTGGTCTCTCTCTTCCAGACAGAAGAAAAGCGCATTATAAGTCATTTGCAATTTATCACTTGGCCAGAGCACGATACTTCCAAGCTGGCTGAGCAGCTTGTAAAATTTATTTGTTACATGAGAAAAGCTCACAGGTCCGGACCTATTATTGCTCACTGTAGCACTGGCGTTGGAAGAAGTGGAGTTTTGCTGTGTGTTGAAATTCTCCTCAGCCATATAGAAAAAGATTTATGTGTAAGTATCAAACAGGTCATTGTTAAGTATTACAAACTGGTATGGATGTCAACAACATGGTGAAACCTCTTAGAACAGAATAAATCCTGTAAGAATTTGTTCTAACAAAATAGAATAAACCAGCTTTCATTGTTTTAAACAACAAAGTAAGTAACTACAAATCTACTATTTCTAAAAAAACGGTCACAGTTTGCCCATATGAATATGCTTAAATCTTTCTTTATAACATGCATGTCAACCAAACAAAAACTGTTCTCTTCTGATAGTTCAACATCAAGCAGATAGTGAGAGATTTGCGAGATCAGCGTTTTGGCATGATCCAAACTAAGGTAAGTTCTAAATAAGCAACTAGGTTATTATTATTTTTTTTAAACCAGAATCAGTGGCACTATTCCCCATGCATTGATAAATCTGGGGCTTAAAATATCATTTTAGTGCTCTCATTTGAGGAAAGTAATGGCCTTCTAGGCAAGTGGTGTCTAGTTTTAAATATGAAAATTTGTCTCCTACTAAGTAAGTGAAACAAAAGCAAAGCAGCAATATAGGACAGATACTGCACCCCCCTTTCTTTTTCTAAAGCAAGAAGAAAAGCAAGTATCACAGAAACAGTGATTTATTATAAACCCTACCCTGCAAAATCACACCTTTCAGTTAAATTCTTGCTATTGCTGAGTTATCATCACCAAGTAAACCCTTCTACTCCTAGTTAAACCCATTCCTGAGAAGATTTTTCACACAGAGGAAGACAAGATGCAGGTAACTCAACTTAGAGAAAACAGTTGGTGAGAATAAAAGCAAGAGAAGACTAAAAGAAGTTCTTCCTATAGGCAAATATTTTAGTATATGCTTTGATATATTTTTCTTCAGGGTAATGATTGAGCCAGTAACTAAAATTAAGCAAACATATAACTTTCACTGTCCTAAATGAGAGTTGAACACATGCTTAAAGTACAGTGTTCCTCTACTTTTACCAGTGATGGAACAAAAAGAACAGGGATTCTCTTAAATAAATAAGTTTTGTATCCATATGACAAAGATGCTGATGTTATAACCATACAACATATAACCATACAATTTCATGTAGTCCATCCTTCTTTGTCTATAATTTATGTTGAGTGTAACCAGGTGTTTCACACTGGTGTCTCCACACACAGGATGAGTATTTATTCTGTTATGAAGTTGTTCTGGAAGTCCTTCAGATCCTCCGAGCAATGGATTCCTACTGAATATGATTCCTACAATATGAGTCTTCCAGTTGCTGTTCCACATGGACTCCAGGAACTGCTCAGCAACTACTTTAAAGAGACATCAAGCCAGCAGACAAGTGTTATTACACACTTTTTTAGAATTCCCTGATTTCAAAGTAATTTTAAAACCTTGCTTAACATGTCCTGTGTAAGTAATGTATTTCTTGGCTCAAAGGATGAAGAAACAGCCAGCCAGCACTGCAACACTGCTGTGTTAAATTGCTATGGACAATTTTTGCATTCTGTGTAATAACATATTAATTGCTAGGAATATATGTTGGGGCCGTAGCAAGGCTATAGCAGCCTTTGGAATTAGCTTTACTATCTGGAGGGCAACTATAAAGATCTAAGATTCTGTTGGTGTTGGTGGAAGATTAGCTGACCCTTATCTATTGTTGTGCACTATTGGCTTCTGGACAGCAAATCAGTATTTACTCCAGCAGTTATGCTTTGGCATGGAGGCACTCAATCTGGTGACCTTTGGCTGCTTGAACAATGTAGAACCATTCCCAGTCATTACTCCAGCCCATGAGTTTATACCACTTTCACTAGACATCTTAAATCAAGAAACTGACAGAAAAAATAGGATGCCTTTAAAGCCTGGTTCTCTACAAAGGAAGAGCATTCTAATAATTAGATGGAAGACTAATTTTTTCCAGCAATATGAACAGATGTAGATAGCATCAGTATTTTCATTCTACATCCATAGAAACAGGAATGCTAAGCCAGGTGAAACAACTGTGTGTGCGTTGTGGTACACACATACATTTCATCTTTCCCTAATCCTTTACAATGATTGACTATCTTTTTATTCTTACCTACGATCTGAAATATGGGATGTCCTGCTGGTCTGAGTAGGGGCTGAATCAGATCGTTAAATTAAAGAACTCTCTGTACAGTTTATTTTTCTTGTAAAAAGTGTTTCTGTTTGTGTGGGTGGATTTGAGCAGAAATCTGCTGTTCAAGGTGTAAGATTGTATTTGTTTCCATAATAGTACTTCTAAGTCCTTATCTAGAAGGTGACATATGGAAGTGATTAGATGTGCATTAGAAGAGTAAGTTGCAAACATAGGAAACAGAAACAATCTAAATTGTACATATTTTAAAAACTTATTTGGTTTATGCTAAAGAGAAAATATTAAGAGGCATTGGCTATAAAACTGCAGTTGAAGCAAGAAAATAAAATACCTATTTATTTTATTACCTATTACAAATTAGAGGTTCAT